AAGGGATCCAAGGTTCCTCAGTTGCCAGGGATACACCTGACAGTCAGAGTAGCTCTTTTAGACAGTTTGTACTAGGTACTAGAAGCAGTCCAGTGATACAAACTGTACTACGAGCGTGATTGATCTAACACAGAGATGAAGAGTGGGACATGCTTGGCTTGAATGAGAGTGGGGATTTACATAACCCAGGACAACAGGGAAAAGCATAGGGTTGACTAACATTCTCTGGAAAGTCTCTTGGTGGGCAAACATCTTATGACTAGATTGACTCATCTCCTTCTGTGGTCATCAAAAACTCACAGATTTGAGTCTTTGTGGTTGGACTTTATTGCCCATAAGAATAGGGAAGTTAAACTCTTATGAAATTTTACCATTGGAGCCCATACAATTAAGTTTACAATTGATCCACAAATTCCAGTGACTAGATACAATTCTCAATCAATAATAAATAACACAAAATAAAGTAGAGTATCTGTGTTTAATTTCACAACAAGATAAGTAAAGAGATAGCAAAGGAACACCTAAATGCGTTTGATGAATTCATGTCACTTGGACATACATCCTGTGGCACTGGAAGAACTGAGTAATATGATTCCTGAGCCCGTCACTGATCTGTAAAGACTGTGTAGAATATTGAAGGTACCACAGGACAGAAGAAGGGCAAATGTGCCATTAAAAAAAGGTGAGCTTGGAATCTGCAAACTATAGGCTAGTGAGCTTGACACTGATTACTGGATAAATTTTTAGAACATATTATTATAAACATCTAGAAAAGGAAATATTGAACGGAGACCCACAGAACGGTTTCATCAAGAACAAGTCATGCCAGATCCACCTTATTTCTTTTTGCTTTTTTTGTTCAGAGTTACAAAAATGGTAGACTGGGTAAGAGCCAGTTTGCAGTCCCTTTTTTAAATATCTGGAGATGTGAATGGACTGTAAGTTCAATGGGAGTCAGTAGTTTAAAGCCAAAAGAGCTAATGTAACCTTGATCTTGTTTTGTTTGAAAATTAAGGTAAACTGAGAGAGAGAGAGAAAGGTCCAAGCATGACAATTTAATAGTAAGGCTAGCAGTGACTATTAAATTAGGTCAGTGCCTCTCTCAATGACTGAAGACCCCAAGGTAGTGCTTACTGGCCTTCATATAGTTTTGGGAAATATAGGAGAACAAAGAACAGAGTTGGGTAGGTGGGAAAAACAACAGAATTGGTTACAGAGTCGACAGCATCCTGAGGGTAGGGATAATGTAATTTGTTACATCAAAAAAAAGTGGGCTAGCACCCATGTGGGGCTAGTAACCACCCCTCTCTGTCATTAAGAAATGATTGCTTGATCTAAGGGACCCAACTGCTTCCTAAGGACATTGTTAGACTGAGAGTAGTAGACTACCTCACTCCTAGAAGGGTATGGGACATAAGGCCCTCCTTAGTTGTACAGAGACAGGCAAGGATGGACAATATGCTTTGTAGAAATATACAAGATGAGCTTGTAGCCTTTTAAAGATAACAATAGATGTCCTGGAATTTTCCCAGAAGCTGAAGGTATGGTAGACAATAATTTTCCCCATTAATTATAGCTTTAAATTAACTCAGTGGGAAAGCTGAATTCCTGAGCTCAATTAAAGGGTATGGAAATGTGGCATTAGAGATGTAGACCCAATTATAAAAATCAATACAGCATAAAATCAATTAGATTGTACAATCAATGCAGTAGAAACTCAAGGTAATATTAATTTTGATTTTTTCAAGCTTGTATGATATCATGGGGCAGCCAGGTGGCGCAGTGGATAGTGTGCTGGGCCCAGAATCAGGAAGACCTGTGTTCAAATTTGAGCTCAGATACTTACTAGCTGTGTGACCTTGGGCAAGTCATAACCCTATTTGTCTCAGCTTCCTCATCTGTAAAATGAGATGGAAAAGGAAATGACACGCGACTCCAGTATCCTTGCCAAGAAAACCCCAAAGAGGTCACAAAGAGTAGGACTTGACTGAAAAACAACTAAACAACAACAGCAGCTGTCAGAAGTCAGTTGAAAGGATGCCAATCAAGTGTTAATATGACTCAGTTTTACTTAGTGTCTGAGACTCAACGGGATTACGATATTTGTTCATATTTAGGAAAATTTATCATTACAATACTGCTGGAATTTGAAGTCCACAACAGGACACAATTTGTAGAGTTTTTGCTTTGTGCTCATGACAACTATCTCTACCTTTTAACTAACAATCAGTCAATTAATTAATAAACATACACTAAGTTCCTACTATGTTCCTGGCACTATGCTAAGTATGGGAGATACAATCAATCAATAAATAATAATAATAACAGCTAGTATTTATATATTGCTTTAAAGCTTGCAAACTGTTTATCATCTAGACAAAGTGATGGAGAATGGATTCAACGTAAAAGTGTTTTGTGCATACTTTTTTTTTTCCAGAAAGCTAGTTGGTTGTTAAATATTTACCACCAGCACACACTGTATATAGAACACTTTAAAAACTAGGGGGTTGTCTGCCCCAAGCATGTGAAGACTTCCCCTGGCAGAAGAAGTGAATGAAAACAATTTGTTCCAGTAGCCATGAAGGCAGCTGAAGCAGGAACTGTGGAGCACTTAGAGCTTGGTTAGACATCAACGATGCAAAGTCATCCACTGCATACCAGGCCATTGCTAGTTGTCTTGAATTGTGCTTTGCCACTGGACTTCGATGACTCTGGAAGAGAGAGTGAGGCTGATGACTTCTTGTAACTCTGCCTCACCTAAATCCAATTTATGCACAAATCAAAAGACATCATCCATAACATTGTATCATTTTTATCTACCTCAAAGTCCTGTGGTGACAGGCAAGTCATGAAGCAGCAGGTTTGGATACACTGGGAGCTGTAGTCAGAACCCTGCACACAGGTAAGCCAGGCCATAGGGTTGTCTTCTGACTGGAGTGAAGCAGCAGTGGGGTTCATCAGCCCCGTAAATATCTGAGCAGCCATCTTAAGGACCATGTGGCTTACCTCCTGGTGTGAGGAAGGGTCTAGGAAAGAAGCCCTAAAAATCATCTACTTCACCCAACCCTGGCCTGCTTGTCCTGGCAGCTGGGAATCCCACCCTGCCATCGAAACAAAAAAAAATATTCAGAAACTTTTGCCAAGGTGATTCCACTCACCATCAGTACATGGAATGTGCATACTCTTATGGACAACATGACAGACAACAGCTCTTGTTACAAGAGAACTCAGCAGGTATCATATCCAAATAACAGCCCTGAGTGAAACAAGGTTGGCAAATGAAGGCCAACTTACTGAAGTTGGAGCTGTATGCATGTTCTGCTGGAGTGGCTGCAGCAATGGGTAGCACTTTGAAGCTGGTATAAATTTTGCAATCAAAATTAATCTAGTCAACAAGCTTGCATGCCTCCCAAAAGGAGTGAATGACAGACTTGTGATATTGCGATTGCCCCTTGCAGGAAAGTGCCATGCTACTATCATCAATGCATGTGCTCTCCCCATAACAAACCCTAATGAGGTCAAATAAAATTTTTTATTAAGACCTGGAGACCCTCATCATTAATGTGCCAAAAGAGGATAAGTTCATAATTCTGGATTACTTTAATGCCAGTGTAGGTACTGACTAAAAGACATGGCAAAGAGTGTTTGGGAGGAATGGAGTCAGAAACAGTAAGAGCAATGGTCACTTACTTCTGAGGACTTGTGCGTCTCATGACTTTCTCATCACCACCACTATTTTCCATTTACCTAAACTCAATAAAACTTCATGAATGCACTCTTGCAGCCAACATTTTCAGTTTAAATCACCCTCCCCTGTTTGTTTGTTTGTTTGTTTGTTTTTAAACATGCCCTTGAGAGGAGTACAAGTATAAACTGCCAATAGAGATGCTTGCAAAGCCTGAACCAGTATTTTTCAACCCAGGACTGTTCTGATTTGTGAAACTGATGGTATTCAAACATAAAATCTGAGTGAGCTATTTCAGGTGCTCTACACTTTGATCGTGTCTGCTTTATGTTTCTTCTCCCTTCTCTCTCTTTTTGGGACGGCCACAGACCTTTCATCCATGTAGGGAACTCCTTGTGGAGAAATTTCCTTCATTGATGCAGATAAGAACCTACCATTTGGCAGTTAGAAAGAGTTGCCTACATGCCTGATATGTTATAGGTTGGATTTGAACCTAGATCTTTCTGATTGGGAGGTCAGCTCTCTGTCTACTACATCGCAATACCCTCTCTATCCTTAAAAAAAATTCTCCATTTAAACAATTTAACATTGATCATCAAGGGTAATCCCTAGTAAAAATACACAATAAGTGAAAAATGGTCAGTTCTTGGAGTTCCTTTCCTTATGAGAAGGGCATTTAATAGTGTCTAAGACTATAATTATCTGATTGTGAAAGACTAGCTGCCTGGCTCACTTGCTTTGCTAGAGAATGACGCCCTCAAAAGTATGTGTATGTTTCCCTCTAGTGGCAGTTTTATAGAAGTTCAAAGACTGTTAACTGCTGCCAAGTAAAAGAAATTTCCTTCCCCCCCCCCCCCCACTGGAAGGGAAACCATACATTGAGGAAACCCAGATGCACAAAATTAAATTTTTATATTTACGCCAAGTTTCCTAAAATATTTATGCTGTTGGAAATTTCTTCTTCACAGAGTTATAATTACCCTCTCTGTACTTGCTGTTATGGGGAACAATGATAAAGAGTGTTTTAAACCTACATTTTGACAATTACATTTCAAAAGATATTACCCAATACTGATATAAAGCATGTAAAATAAATGGCTGCTCAGAAATTACTAGACAAATAATGTTATCTAGAATTTGAATGGACTTTAGATATAGTAACAAAATATTAATAAATATGACCATCTTTTAATACTGGAAGCTAGGAAATACACAATTACTACTTATTTATATGTTACCACAGTGTTTTTTCTACTGGTTCACTTTTAATGGCTATATTTCATATGAATCATCATATTTAATTTTTGTTCATTAGGCATTATGTACAATCTGTGGTTAAGAAGGGGGCTCCTTTTATTGGCTTACCTTCTCTTACTGAAGCTGATGAAAGTCAAAGTGTTCAAGATATGAGCCAACCTACAGGAACTTTGACTTTGCAAAGTGTTTCTCAGGTAATTATTTAGCTACAGAGGGTTATTTTATAAAGTGAAGGAATATTCTCTTAGGTTAAAGGTTTTATTTAAACCTTTTTAGGGGCTACATTTTCCATTTGTTTTTCTAGTTTGCATTTAAATTTGTCTGTATATCCTACATTCTCTAAATATCATTTCCAATTAGGAAATCTGATTGGATAGAAGGTATTATATAGTTGATTTATGAAGACTTGCATCAATTTACTAAGTTAATGATAAAGAAAATTTTGGGAAATACAGTACTTTCATCAAGTAAAATGTTATAACCCAGATGGCTTTGTGCCTTTTTATTCTTAATTTGAAGTATCAAAGCTTCATTTAAATCAATTTAAGAACAGATAAAATGGAGACAAGTTACTGAACCTTTAGCAATTTAGACTTATATAACTTTAGATTTCAAAGGGACCGTTTGGTCTAACTCTCTTTTTATAAATGAAGAAACTGAGTCCCAGAGAAGTGATGTAGCCCTACTTCTGACTTTACAGCTGGCATTCCTTCAGATAGCTCTATGCTCTATTTTGATCATGTAGTATTTGAAAATAGAAATAACTTCCATAGTAAATTATTTTATACAACAAAAATCATGATAAAAGAACTAATAAGTCATGTTTACATAATCTTTTAAGATTTATAAAGTAATTTCTTCGCAATAACTTTGCGAGACTAGTCTCTAAATATAATTTCTAGAACTATAAATGAAGAAACTTATAAAGGTTAAGTAATAAACCCAGGGTTATACGGTTAGCAAGTATCAGAGTATTGACTCAAATCTAGATCTGTTCATGACTTCAGTGTTTGTAAGGCTTGAGTCTTGAAAATTAAACTTTAAGAACCAGGAAAACTATATGTATACAATTACTTCAAAATATGAATGGAGAGAACAACAGCACAAAAATAATAACTTAATGCTGTGAAATGTAATGACCAACTTGACCCCATAGAAATGGAAGAGGAAATACTACCCTTCTTTGTAGAGGTTGGGAACTATGGAGGTGGAACATCACATCCAATGTGGGACTTGGTTGATATGTTGATTAGTTTTATTGAAATAAAGTTTCTCCTTCATTATAGCTTTCAAAGGAGTTGGAGGGGGAAGAATATATTGGGAAATGAAATTAGCATAAAAAATAACTATATGAAATAGTAAAATTCAAGCAATTGAAATATGATTTCCTTTTAAATTTAAATTTATTATTTATTTAATAAGAGCTAATATTGATATAGCATTTAAGACTTACAAAGCACTTTACAAGTATTTTCTCATTTGATTCTCACAGAAACCCTGGGATGTAAGTTCTGTTACTATCCTCAATTGTAAAGTGAGGAAACTGAGACAGACGGAGGTTAAATGAGTTACCCAGGGTTAACACAGCTAGTAAGCCTCTGAGGCTGAAATTGAATTCAAATCTTACTGACTCCAGGTCTAGCATTCTGTCTATCCACTGTGGCACCCAGCTGCCTTTGCTTTCATTTATCAGTCATGTCTTCTACTGAACAGAATGCTCTCTTGTAGCAGAAAAATATAGTTGAGAAATACAAACTTAACTATTGACTATGACAAATAGGCCAGAGTCATTGGTTAAATTTATATTCTGTACCCATAGTCTACCACCTCTTTATGGAGAAGGAGAAGAAGAAGGTATTTTTCATCATAAATCCTTTGGAGTTAAAATTGGTCATTATATTAAACTGCATTTTGATGTCTTCTAGTGTTATCTTCCTTTACATCATTTTGATCATTGTGTTTTTGTTTTCGTTTTTAGCTTTTTTCAACTTTCTTTGCATCAGCTTGTATAAGTAGTTCCATTTTTTTCTGAATTCCTCATATTCTTCATTTTTATCTACAGTAATATTCTATTATATTTATACACCTCTATTTTTTTCAATCATTTCCCAACCATTAGACTTTGTTTCTAGGATTTTTTTTTTGCTGCCACAAAAAAAGTGCCACCCTATATTTTTTGGTATGTGGGAACTTTTACCCTCTCTGCCAAACACTAAATATATCTAGTTTCTTTTTATTTTAAAATGTTTTTATTATTGGGTTGAGAAATTTGATTAAATTCGTTTAAAAAAAAATATAACAGCCAGACAAAGCCTGGTGGTGTAATCAGAAAACCTGAGCTCAAGCCCTCTGCTGCTTTGGCTGCTGTCCTCAACAAATTACTATAACAAATTACTATAAACCTCACTTTTCTCAGCTGTCATATAGGGATGGTGACACCTCTGCTACCTACTTCAAAGAGTTTTTGTGAGGAAACTACTTTATAAAATTCTATAAAAAGGTGAGCTATTATTATTGTTTCCTTTTATGTTAATAGTATTTCTTGAAATCTACTACTTTTTGCTTTTAGTTCCTTCTTAAGAAGCCCAATGCTGCTATCGTTATTTGAAAACCTTTTATGTTTTGGGCACAACAAATGGTATTTACAGATTTGGTTTACTTGGTATGTGTTTTCCTAACCAACAGATGAATCTTGGTGTTGCCAGTGGAACTCCTAAAGGTAAGTGAATAACCTATTCATAAACTTTATTGAAAAAAAATGTAAAAGAATACTGTGACCAGTTGATGAATTCTGTAAATTACAGAGTTTAAAAGGGACTAAGCCTGTTAGTTTTAGGGGATTAGCTACCTTAAATGCTTGCCAAAAGGTATTTACATGGTACTTTATTGTGTAAAGAAATTACTTTTATTCTCTTTTTTCCCCCTCCTACCCTATAAAACTTTTTGCTTTAAGAAAACATTAACAATGTAGTGATATCTTTTCACAAAGTATTTAAAAAGCAGAGGCCATTTTATTAGAGGGCATTTTTTCATAGAGTAGACAACTTCTCTTCCCCTCTAGAATTTACTTGACCATGGATGGGGAAATGTTCTAAGCTTCTGCTCCCTGCATAATTATAGAGATCAGTAGGGCCTGAGGGGAAGGCCCCTGTTGGGGAAAACATGTTTACTTGGAGAAGGTAAATTTAAGGCCAAGCTGAATAAACCCAAAGATATTCAGAGTGCCAAATGCAGAGGTCTGAGGCAGGATGCAGGGAATAAAGTGTTCTTAGCAGTTTTCCAAAGCTAGCAAGGTTAGTAAGGAATGTCAGGGGGAAAGTACTACTACAGAAAATGAGGGCCATTGTAGCTTCTTTGGAATTATTTATGGCAATTTATGGAATTTACTTTATGGCCTGCTGATTATGTCTTCTGTTTCTCTCTGTTGCCTTCTAAGTTGGCTGTAGGACAGGACAAATTTTAACTTCCTTTCACTCCTTCCTTTAGTTACCTTCCTTTAGAGGAATACTGACCCCGGTATCTCCTGAAAATAATTAAATTCTGAGACATTCAGTCAGTTGGAGAGCAGTTTTTTTTTCCCAAGTGTACAATCAGGACCCAAGTTCAGTGAAGAGAACCACACAAAAAATAAGAATGAAACTGAATTGAGGAGGGAAAGAGAAAATAATCCTTTACAGTAATGGTAAACTTTTTGGGTTCCAGCAAAGGAGTTTCAGAGAAATATAGCAAAGTTGGATTCTTGCAGGGATAGCTAGATTTTACAAAGACGAATTTGTAAACTCTCTGATTTGTCAAATGTGTCGATGAATGAAATCTTCTTTGTAAAAATACAGTAGCTAATTTGACATTGCTGGGTAACCAATTATCAATAATTCAACAATCATTTCTACCAATCATGATGGTAGATACTAGAGATATAGTAACAAAGATGAAACAGAAATAATCAGAATACCCATGTGACATTGACAAATCACTTAAAACTCTCTTAGTCTCAGTTTCTTCAGCTATAACATGGGGAAATCCACTTATACCACCTATCTTAAGGGTTGTTGTATGGAAAGCATTTTGTAAATTTCCATAAAAAGGTGAACTATTATTATGTTTTGTTACTCTCCGTGTTAATAGTATCTGTGAAAATGTTTCATTAGTTTTTCAAGATTTCACACAAGTGAATTTTTTAGATCCCAGAAGTTTGTTCCTCTTAAGTGTTCCAACTAGTTTTATTTAATTACTTTATGCAAATTTCCCCTAAATCTGTTAGATTATGAATCTAAATTATTGTTCTGTACTGCTGTAATGCATTGAGATATTTGCTTCCCATTTTTGTCATCTTCCAAATTGTCTTCTCTGCCCATCTTCCTCCTCTGTTTATAAAATAGATAATAACCAAGTTTTATTCCAAATAATTCCCAACATCTTAATCTAAATTCAGTGGTCCTGTAACCAGTTTACCTCATTTGCCTTTACCTCATTACCTTTTTTCCCCCTACTTTTTACCAATGAAGTCTTTCTATAGAAAGAGTATTAACTATGGTTGATGGAGATTAATTGGGCTACTGTAACTTCAAAAAATCACTAAGTATCCTAGATTAATACTTTGTACCACAAATACACTTGAAGAAAAAATTTATTCCTAGCAATAAATTGTTTCAGGTTCCTTTTCTTTTTGAATTCTTAGGTCAGCTTTTTTATTGACATGGGGAATAAGACAATCAAGTATATTAGGATTATATCAAAGATCATAATTAATAAATTTATGTGTGACTTTCTGGCATATGCTTTGTTTGCTTAAGTGCCTTCATCAGCCTTTTTTTGGTTTGCTTTTGGGCTTTAGTCTATGTTCCCAATAGTTAAAGTTGCTAGATAAATCACCTCTGAACTAATGAGTCCTGACTCCATCTCTGTTCATTGTGAATTCACCAAAAATATCATCAAAACTGGGCAGCTAGGTGGTGCAGTGGATGGAGCACTGCGCCTGGAGTCAGGAGGACTTGAATTTAAATCTGGCCTCAGACACATAATACTCACTGGGCAAGTCACTTAACCCCAATTGCCCCCTCAAAAAAAAATCACCAAAATTAGAAGTAGAAATTAGTTTTCACTAGTGTTTTTAAGATAAAAAGGAAAAAAAGTAAAATTGAACTCAAACTAAAACTCTTGCAATGTTGTCATTGTTATTGTGTTGTAGAGGTTATACTCCATGCAGTGTGCAAGGGAATGCGCCTATAGAAGCTCTCATTTCAGAAAGCATGCAATTGGGACTTCCCTGGAAACTTTGGGGGCCACAAGCTGCTTTAGAGAGTCTGTATAGACTTATACTATATATGCTCCATGGAGTATAACCTCTGCTACACTTATATTTTATCATCCCATGCCAGCCTGTTCTTTTTCCTCTTTGGATACTCTTTTAGTGTAAAGCCCTAATCAAGTATGCTCTGGGACCCTCTACATTTTTGACATTATAGAATTGCTGTATCACAGAATTTTAGGGTTGTAAGGGACCTTAGTATCTGTTTCTTCCAAACCATACACAAAAGGAATCCCTGCAGTAATTTACAATACCTCATCTTCCTCATCTCCCCGCCCCCAGTACAACTTTTTGTTCCAAAAGTATAGCATGAAATATTTTTTAGTAAAAATTCACTTCACTTTAGTAAGTTTTCGAGCCTTCTTGGAAAATGCATTGCCACAAATCCAAGGTCAAGAATCAGACGGAACATGGAAACAATTCTTGTCACAATGCATAATAATGGCTAGCATCTTTTACATATGTTGGTCCTTAAAACAACCCTGTCCTATCATAATATAGACCGAGGACACTGAAGTTCAATAACTTGTCCAGGGTCACACTGCTAAAAATGTCTGAGGCAAGGTTTGAACTCAGGTATTACCCATTCCAAGTCCAGCACTCTGTCCACCATGGCACCTAGTAGTCTCTAACAGTGCTTTCCTTTCTATTGTCTCTGAAGTCCCTTTTCTCTACTGATGGATTCTGAAGCAGGTTTCAGGGTTATGAATTAGGATGTATACTTTAGAAAGTTATGCGGGAGAAAATTACTGAATTACTGAACACACTGACATCAGTGTAAGACTTTCTGGTCTATATTTGGAACGTAAACTAGTAACATTCATGTGTATTTTTCAGCACATGTGTTCATAAATATGAACTTTTGAGATTCTCCTCATTCTTTTTCACATATCATTGACTTCCATTCTTTTAGACCATGGATAGTTTTGCCATGTTAATGTTTGTTCTTCCTATGTATACAGAAGAGCCACCAGAAACTGTATATAATGTTACGGTTCATCAGTCAGAGGCAACTGACTTATACAGCCAGGTAACATCCACCTTGAATAAGTCCCAAGAAGACATATCAACAGAAAATGCTCCTGTATGCAAAGAAATCTGGTTTGACTATGATGACTTCTGCAAATGCTTCCAGTAAGGATTAAAAAGTTTCCTACCCCCACATATTTAATATACCAGGATTGTAAAGTATTCATTTTTTAGCTTGGATTCAGATGCTTCCTGATGGACTGTATACTATGCGAGAAATCAAGTAGGTTAGTGTAATTAGATGATTGGGTACATGGAAGAGAGCAAAGTATAAGGAAGCTGGAAATACAGGAAGGAGCCAGGGTATAAAGAGTTTTAAATACCAAATGAAAATATCTGTTCAGTTCTACAAGATAATAGTGAGTCATTAGAGTTTATTGAATAGGGATACTTCATGGAGTAGTATTGATATGGTCAGATCTATGCCTTAAAAATCACTATGGCTAAAAAGTGGAGGATGGATTGGAGTGGGGAGAGACTTGAGGCAAGGAGACCAATTAGAAGATTAAGGTCCGGAAAGAATGCCATCTGCATCAGTGAAGTCTCCATATGGATGAAGTCATGGGTTATCTGGAGTACTGAAGTATTATTCATACATTTTAACTGGTAGTGTCCCATTTTGAAACATTGACCTTAGTGAATTCTGCCAAACATTTAAGGATCAACTAATTCAAATATTAAATAAATTATTTGGAATAATAGGCAAAGGAGTTCTACCATACTCCTTTTAAGAAGCAAATATGGTGCTGATAACTAAATTAGGAAGAGCAAAAATGATGAAGAAAATTACAGACCAATTTCACTGCTGAATATCATGAGGCAAAAATTCTAAATAAGAAACTAGCTAGGAGACTACAACAATATATCACAAAAATTATACATTGTGACCAAGAGGGTTTTATAGCAGGAATGCAGGGATGGTTTAACATAAGAAAAACTATTTACCAATAACAAAAGTAACAAAAATCATATGATTATATCAACAGATGCAGAAAAAACTGTTTACGAAATACAACACTCATTCCTATTAAAACACTTAAAAACATATGTATAAATGGATTTTCCCTTAAAATGATAAGAAGCATCTACCTAAAACCATAAGCAAAGTATCATTTGTAATGGGGATAAGCTAGAGGCCTTCCCAGGAAAATCAGGAGTGAAACAAGGATGCCCATTATCACTAATATTATTCAGTATTGTATTAGAAATTCTAGCAATAGCAATAGGAGAAGAAAAAGAAATTAAAGGGATCAGAATGGGCAATGAGGTAATAAAACTATCTCTTTTTGCAGACAATATAATGGTATACTTAGAAAATCCTGGAGATTCAACAAAAAAGCTGGTTGAAACAATAATTTTAGCAAAGTAATAGAATATAAAATAGACCTGCATAAATCATCAGCATTTCTATTTTTAATATAAATTTATTTATTTTTAGTTTTCAACATTTACTTCCACAAGATTTTCAGTTTCAAATTTTCACCCCATCTCGCGCCTTCCCCCACCCCAAGATCGCATGCATTCTGAATACCACTTCCCCTAGTCTGTCCTCTCTTCTGTCTCTCCCCCTCCTTCTCTTATCCCCTTTCCCTTGTATTTTCCTGTAGGGCAGGATAGACTTCTGTACCCCATTTCCTGTATTTCTTATTTCCCAGTTGCATGTGAAAACATTATTTTTTTAAACATGTGTTTTTAAAACTTTGGGTTCCAAATTTTCTCCCTTCCTCCCTTCCCACCCACACCCTCATTGAAAAGGCAAGCAACTCAATATAGGTTATACATGTGCACCTATGCAAAACACTTCCATAATAGACATGGTGTGAAAAACTAACTCTATTTCCCTTAATCCTATCCTGCCCCCCCATTTATTCTGTTCTTTCTTTTGACCCTGTCCCTCCTCAGAATTATTTGCTTCTGATTACCCCCTTTCTCAATCTGCCCTCCTCTCTGTCATCCCCCTGTTCTCTTGTCCCTTCCCCCATATTTTTCTGTAGGTTAAGACAGATTTCCATACCCAATTGAATGTGTATGTTATTCCCCCCTTAAGCCGAATCATATGAGAATAAGATTCACTCATCTCCTCTTACCTTCCCCCGTTTCCCCTCCACTGTAAGAGCCTTTTCTTTTCTTTGTTTTTTTGTGAGATAATTTACCCTGTTCTACCTCTCCCTTTCTTCTTCTCCTAGTATAATCCTTTCTCATCCCTTAATTTTATTCTCCAGATATGACCCCTTAATCTTCAACTCACCCTGTCCCTCTATCTATCTGTCTGTCTATCTATCTATCTATCTATCTATCTATCTATCTATCTATCTGTCTGTCTGTCTGTCTGTCTGTCTGTCTGTCTGTCTGTCTATCTATCTGTCTATCTGTCTATCTGTCTATCTATCTATCTATCTATCTATCTATCTATCTATCTATCTATCTATCTACATACATATAATTTTTCCCCCTCCAACTACCCTAATACTGACAAAGGTCTCATGAGTTATAAATATCATCTTTCCATGCAGGAATGTAAACAGTTCCATCTTAATAAGTCTCTTATGATTTCTCTTTCCTGTTTACCTCTTCATGTTCCACTTGAGTCTTGTATTTGAAAGTCAAATTTTCTATTCAGCTCTGGTCTTTTCATCAAGAATGCTTGAAAGTCCTCTATTTCACTGAATGACCATTTTTTCCCCTGAAGGATTATACTCAGTTTTGCTGGGTAGGTGATTCTTGGTTGTAATCCTATCTCCTTTGCCCTCCAGAATATTATATTCCATGCCCTGTGGTCCTTTAATGTAGAAGCTGCTAAATCTTGTGTTATCCTGATTGTGTTTCCACAGTACTTGAATTGTTTCTTTCTGGCAGCTTGTAATATTTTCTCCTTGACCTGGGAACTCTGGAATTTGGCTACAATATTCTAGGAGTTTTCCTTTGGGGATCTCTTTCAGGAGGAGATCTGTGGATTCTTTCATTTTCTATTTTGCCCTCTGGTTCTACTATATCAGGGCAGTTTTCCTTGATAATTTCTTGAAAGATGATGTCTAGGCTCTTTTTTTTGATCATGGCTTTCAGATAGTCCAATAATTTTTAAATTCTCTCTCCTGGATCTATTTTCCAGGTCAGTTGTTTTTAATGAGATATTTCACATTGTTTTTAATTTTTCATTCTTTTGGATTTGTTATACAGTGTCTTGATTTCTCATAAAGTCACTAGCTTCCAATTGCTCTAGGCTAATTTTTAAGGAAGTGTTTTCTTCAGTAATCTTTTGGACTTTCTTTTCCATTTGGCCAATTTTTCTTTTTAGGGCATTTTTCTCTTCATTGGCTTTTTGGACCTCTTCTGCCATTTGGATTAGGCTATTTTTTAGGGTGTTATTTTCTTCAGTATTTTTTTGGGTCTCCTTTAGCAAGCTGTTGACTTGTTTTTCATGATTTTCTTGCATCACTCTCATTTCTCTTCCCAGTTTTTCCTCTACTTCTCTTACTTGCTTCTCAGAATCCCCTTTGAGCTCTTCCAAGGCCTGGGACTGATTCATATTTTTCTTGGAGGCTTTGGATGTAGGAGCTTTGACTTTGTTGTCTTCTTCTGGTTGTATATTTTGATCTTCTTTTTCACCAAAGTAAGATTCTGTGGTCTGACTCTTTTTTCGCTGCTTGCTCATGATCCCGGCCAATTACTTGAGTATTAAACTCTTTGTTAAGGTAAGAGTCTGCTTCCAATGTGGAGATTGTATTGTCCCAAGCTTCGGGGGTTTGTGTAGCTGTTTTCAGAGATACTTGTAGGGACCTGTAAGTTTTCAGTTTTTGCAAGGTGTTATGATAAGGGGCGAGGTGTTTATTCCTGTCCTGGCCTGTGCTGTGGTCTATTAGTGACCACAAGCACTCTTTTCTGTCCTGGAACTGTGAGGAAAGTTTCCTCTCCTCAGCCACAGTAAGCTCCACCATGCCAGCGCTCCTCCTCACCTCAGGACTGCCACCCAGAGCTGCGATCCAGGCATGGGCAAAGCAAGGGATTCCTGCCTCAGCACCAGCAGAGAGATCCCTGCAATCCCCCTCTGATCAGCCACTCAATTCCCCCTCAGTCTTTGGGCAGGAAGCTCAGGAAGCAGCCACCACCCGGCGCCCACACTCTGGAACTGGCTGTGAGACCTAGCTGTGCTCTCACCTCAGAAACAGACTTTCACACTGACCTAAGTTGTCTCTGGCGTTCATGGGTTGAGACGTCTGGAAACCACCACAGCTGCCCGTGATTCAGTCCTCTGAGGCCTGCTCCAGGTTACCTGTGGCCTGTGTGCCCACACTACACTGTACTCCTCTTCGCGATATACCTTTCTGATCAATCATCCAGGTTGTCTTGGGCTGGAAATTTGCTTCACTCTGTCTTTTTGTGGGTTCTGCCACTTTAGAATGTGTTTAGAGCCATTTTTATAGGTATTTGGAGGGGTTTGGGGGAGAGCTCAAGCAAGTCACTGCTTTCACTCTGCCGTCTTGGCTCCGCCCTCTGCATTTCTACATATAACCTTTAAAATCCTGCAAGAAGAGATAGTAGTAGATATCCTATTTAAAATAACCATAGACAACATAAATACTTGAGAGTGTATCTACCAAGACAAACCTAGGAACTATATGAAGAGAATTATAAAATACTTTTTAAACAAATAAAGTCATATTTCAATAATTGGGGCAATATTAATTGTTCATGGTTGGGCAAAGCCAATGCAATAAAAATGACAATTCTACCTAAACTAATCTACTTCAATGCCGTTCCAATTAAATTACCAAAAATTATTTTATTGAGCTAGAAAAAAATATCATAATTTATTTGGAAGAACAAAAGGTCAAGAATATAAAAGGAATTAATTGGAAAAAATGTAAAAGAAAGAGGCTTAGCAGTACCTGATCTTGAACTATATTTATAAGGTGATAATTATCAAAACTTTTTGGTGCTGGCTAAGAAATATAAAGGTGAATCAGTGGAACAGAGTAGACATACAATACACAGTAGTAAATTATAGTAACCTGTGTTTGACAAACATAAAGATTTATACTTGCAGGGCAAGAATTAACTATTTGGTAAAAAAATTGTTGGGAAAACTGGAAAACAATCTGGCAGAAATTAGGTATAGACCAATATCTTAAACCGTTTACCAGTGTAAGGTCAAAATGGATGCATGACCTAGATATAAAGGGAGATATCATAGTAAATTAGAAGAACATGGAATATATTACCTTTTAGAATTATGGATGTGAGAAGAATTTCTGAATAAACAAGAGATAGAGAGCATTGTGAGATATAAAATGGATAATTTTGATTACATTAAATTAAAAAGGTTTTGTACAAATAAAACCAATGTAGCCAAGATTAAAAAAGAAAAGCAGAGAACTGGGGAATTTTTATAGAGTTACTCAGTTAAAGGTCTCATATCTCAACATATAGAGAACTTTGTCAAATTTGTAATAATATTAGTCATTCCCCAGTTGATAAATGGTCAAAGGATATAAACAGGCAGTTTTTCAGTGAAGAAATCAAAGCTACATATAGTCATGAAAAAATGTTCCAAATCATTATTGATTAGAGAAATGCAAATTAAAACAACTTTGAGATATCATCTTATATCTATCAAGTTGGCTAAAATGATAGAAATGGAAAATGACAAATGTGGGAGGGGTTGTGGAAAAATTGGGACACTAATACACTGTTGGTGTAACTGTGAACTGATCCAACCATTTTGGAAAGCAATCTGGAATTATGCCTAAAGAATTATAAAACTGTATATACCCTTTGACTCAAAAATACCACTATTAAGTCTGTTTCCCAAAGTGATTAGGGAAAAAGGAAAAGAATCTACATGTTCTAAAATATTTATAGCAGCTGTCTTAGTTGTAGCATTGAGGGGATACCCATATGTATATAGATATATACACATATCTACATATGTATGTATAGGTCTGTGTCAAATGGCCTTCTCTAGCCCAAGGTGGAGAGGGAGGTGGGAAACAGTTCAGAAATTAAAATGTAACCAAAAATTAAATAAAAATAATTTTTTAAAATGTGATATTGCCCTTAGGCTTATGCTAATATGACAATGAACAATTTGTAAAGAGAGGAAAAATGATTGAGTCTTACCCATTGTTTGATTTCAGCCTCTATTCAAAACACTGTCAGTTGGCTGAAACAAAGGGATTTTTTTTCTAACACAATCATTTCTGCCTAGGTCTTCCTAAGACAACTGAATCAATTCACTCTTTTTTTGTTTTTTTTTCTCAGCCTTTCAATATATTAATTCATCTAGGCTGATTAAAGATCCATTGTAATTTGTTGCCTAAAGTGATATTTACGTATTTGAATGGAATTAACTAAGAACTAATTGTCTTTTCAGGAATGTATATATTTTCCACAAACCAAATTCATATATCTATAGCTATCAGAAGTCAGACTTTAAGGTAAGTGAAGTATTAATCTTCTTTTTAAGAATCAAATCACATTAAGGCATGAAACCCTTAGCTATATCAAACGTTTATGAATCTGTTGTCACATTTATATTTAATTTTTATGGTTTGTGATCAGTGATTTTTATTCAAACTCCCACAACTTTTATCTGCTTTACTTTATCTCCTTAATCTGTGTGGACAAGTGCTCTTGTATCTGCCTGACCAACTACTTTTAGGTTCCTAATATGGGCAGACAAGTGGGTTAATTAATAAATTGCATTGTTATATGCAAATCACATGTAATATACTTTGATTTCAAGGGATAAAAACAGACATTTTGTCTCCCAAACATCTTCTATATCTCTTATTTTTCTTTGTCTCTATTATTTAGCCCATATTTAAGGGCAGGAGGTAGCAGGGTTAAGAAGTATCTGGGGAAGATTCATTGTAGGGCAACAATTGCATGTAACCTCATTTCACCTTGCAATTAGCCACAAGCTAGTCTTATCTTTTACTGCCCAGCAATCACTTTTAAAGTACTGGGCACCCACAATTTTCAGTGAAGTCTCTAGTCCAAGTTGAGTGGTCCTTAAGACTGTCTTGAGAATCAGAAACTATACTGTGACATCTTAAGGACCCCACACTGCCCTATGGACACCCTTTGGATTTTTCACCAGACAAAGGTCAATCCTGAAAGTTCAATGGGTCCTGGAAAGCAGTACATACAAGGCTAATGTTGAGCTCTTCTGTGAACTCAAGGCCTTACTACTATAATCAGAATCTCCAGGATTTTCCCTGTGCTCCTAAGTAGCCCTGATGAGGTACCTGGACCTCTAGTGCAATTTCCGTTGTCCCAAGTCAAATCAGTTTGTTGGTTCAGTGAGCCCCATGGCTACAACTTTGTTCTCAATGTGACTTTAAATTGACTGTTAGGAAGACTTTTTGACCAAGGCCTGAAAGGAAATTTAAAGAGATAGTAACCTATTCCTGATGCCAGGCTGCTTACTTTCCCTCAAATTCCCGTCACTTATACCCTAAGCAGGAAGCAATCAAATGTATATGAAGGTCAGTCCAATCCATTTGTCATAGCAGTGCTAAAGTATTTTATGGGAATTGTTGATTTCATACATATAATACTTAATACTTTAATGCCAACAGAAGGAACCACTTCCATCTTCCGAAAAGATTGCCTCCCCAGTTATTATTTGACACATGGTTTCTGCATCAAGGCAGGTTCTCTAATCCCCACATCAGAGTCTGGGGCCAGGTGTATCCTAGAGATAGATCTAGTTCCAGTTTATACTCATAAACTACATTAAATTTTGTGTCCACCAAAGGAGCAAGAGTAGATGAAATATCCAGATAAGAAAATAGTCTAGAATTGGGTTAGGGTCTCAATATTATAGAGATGACTAAAATGAATCTCAAATGGTAATCTTTGTGGGAAGTACAGGAGTGGGGAGCTCAAGTTGATTGCATTAGAGAGACACAATGATATGGTAAGGAATATTTAACAACTGGCTCTTTGAAAGAAAAGTATGGCACAATGAACTTTTAAGTGTAATCTTTATTAAAAATTTCCCCATTATTTTCATAAGTCTAGACAATCAACAAAACAATAAATCAAGCCCTGAATTGTAGTCTTTGTAGATTTGTAAGGTATAAGTGTTCACACTGAAAATTTAACCCTAGGCTCTTGAAAACACATTGGAGCTGGCTTAAGCATATTTCCCTACCCTAACTACTCAGGAGTATCCTTAGAACCCTGAGGAGGTAATGTTGCTCTGGGACTTGAGACCCATAGGTGAGAGTGGGACCTGGGATAAAGATGTCTTAGAGATTACGTGGACTACATTGGAATTTAAGAAAGCCCTTTTTGAGTTTAATAGCATAGATCCAACTGGTAGAGCTATTATCTCAAAACAAAGTTGCAAAAGAAAGCATTTGCTGTAGTCATCATAAATTAATGCATTCTACCACAAAATTTGATTGATAGTATAAAAACATTGAAGGGCACACATGCAATCATATCATTAGCTGCTGTTGCTACAGGGGGAAAGGTAGAACTATCAAGGAATATTTATACGGGTAATAGTTAGCTAGCATTTATATAATACTTTAAGGTTTGCAAAGCACATTACAAATACTATCTCATTTTATCCTTGATGATATCATCCCCGTTTTACAGATAAGGAAACTGGAGGCAGACGGCAGTTAAGTGACTTTCCCAACATCACACAGCTAGTAACTATTCTCCTGACTCCAGTACCAATGCTCTATCCACTGCATTCCCTAGCTGCCTAGCTAAGATAGATGTTGAACGTATCATGGCAGAACCAACTCAATGAGAAGGCATTTGAAGATTACATTAATATTTAGCTAAGACATACAGTAGAATACAAACATCATATCACAAAGACAACACCAAAAAAGACCACACAGAATGAAAACCATCAAAGAAAAGTGCATGTATCAGAAAGTCCAGAGTCCCTTAATCAGCAGTTGAAAACAAATGTCAAATGGTAACAAAGTGTCAAAAAGATAATGCAAGAATGTAAAGTAGTGTAAAGGACTTACTAAGCAAATCAAAACCAATTTTTAAAAAAAAAATCTTTACTTCAGAGGCTTGAAAAAAGAGAGATTGGAGGAGAGAGAGAACTTCTGAAGAAAGAGGATATGGAAAAATCTGTCATGAAAAGTCCAGTACAGAAGAACAAATCGTATAAACAAGAAACAGAAAACTTCTACACAATTAATGTAATGAGCAACAGAAGTTAAATTAAGGTCAAAACTAGAAAAGCAGAGTGGTTGGAGAAAATCTGTAATTATGGGCTCTAACGTTTCACGGGGGTGCACGAGTTATCCTCCAAGCAATTTGCCAGCTTCCTTTCAGATATAAGCTGGATCTCACCTTTCATAAGAGAAGACATTACATACCTGCTGTTCAAAGATAAGAACAAGTTACCTGCAAATGGAGTCTAATTACATGTTTATAAACTTGATACAAAGCAATCCTGGCTTGTGTCACTAAAAAGTCTAAAAACAATGACAAAAAGGCAGTTTAGTCGTTGATAAGCAAAAAGAGTGTGTCAGTGTCCAAAGGGTGTAAAGAATGAGAATGTGTTAGTGTAGTTGTTTGTTCATTTATCATTTGTCCTTTGTTCTCAAAGAGGACCATGACATCAGGAAGGTGGTGTCATGACTTGCAGGTGAATTGAATTTAAGTGAGGGAGAGCTGTGCAAGGTTGCCAGTCTCACTTTCTCCTCCAGAGCCATCTGGGTCCAGTGGCAAGATATAGATAGATCAGGAGGACTGGAAATGGCCCTGGTTTGACTGAGGCCTGTTAGTTCAGTAATTATTCAGTAAAACCCACCTAACAGCTCCATAATTGATTATCACAAAACCTTTCTTTCAGTTCTGTACTAATGACTTAGTCTTTTGCTGCAAATATAGAAAGTATATCCAAGTATAATGAGAATGAATGACTAAAACATTTGTTACATGCTTAATGTGTACTTAGCGGTATATAAATATGTAAGTATGCCAATAGAATATGTATAATATAAACTGTACACTTATAATTTGTAAATACATATATAAAATATGTTATACAAATAGAAAAATAAGACAGTTCTTCCTCTCAAGAAGGGCACATTTTAATGAGGGAGAATGCTGGCATGTTTGATGTAAACATAGAAAACCATTCTTTATTTAAAACATGCCCCCAGTATAATAGTGTCAAGAAAAATTGATATAGGAACAGCTAAGTGATACAATGCAGAAAGTGCTGAGTCTGGAGTCAGGAACAGCTGAGTTCAAATATAGCCTCAGACACTTCGCTGGCTGTGTGACTCTGGGCAAGTTAGTTCACCTCTTTTTTCGTCAGTTTCCTCATCTGTAAAATGTGGGTAATAATAGCACCTACTTTCCAAGGTTGTTATGAGATCAAAGAGATAATAATTGCGAAGTGCTTAGTATAGTGCCTAGTAGAAATTAAGTGCTTTATAAATGTTAGCCATTATATAAAACATGGTATTTTTCAGTGAGGTAGATTAAGCCCATTATATTTCTGCCCAGCTATAAATTCATTATAATTTTCCAAACTAGAACTAAATGTAGTTTTCAAGTTAAATAGGAACTTGAACCAAAATACCTTATTAATTACCTGATATACAGAGATGATATCAAATTATATGAGTAAACAAACAGAAAACTGCACATGAAACAGCTCCTTCATCTCATGGAATCTTTCTCCAATAATATAAAAATAACTTTTGAACCGAGTAAGTGTAATATTGTTAATGTGCATCAAGGAAAGGTAAAGGCTAAAAAAAGGTTTCAAGCTTAAATCTGCAAATTACATTGAACCATTGGATAAAGGCAATCCCTACATTTGCCTTAGTGTCCTTCAGGTAAGAATTGATGAGAATAAAGATATTAAATAGGAGGCTAGGTCTGAATAGGTTGGACTTACTGGCAGACTGAAATCAAAACTGAATGGGAAAACTTCATTTAAAGGAATTAATAATGTCTGTAAAATGCCCTTCTTAATGTATACTTCCTGAACTCTAAAATGGACCATAACAAATTTGGAAAGTCTTCTATTAAATAGCCTAACAATATTAATGAAATACAGTACTTGGCACCCTAGGACAACTATAGAAAGAATAATACTTATCAGAAATTTGATAGACATTCTTTGATCACATGATGAGGTGAAAAAAACCTACAGAAATACTTTTGAAGAGAGTGGATATCATTTCACCAAGTAATAATAAAGGTTGATTACAGTTTTATACCATTGGCCTTGTCAACTATAACTGAAAGTGCTTTACCTCTGAATGGAGCCTATAAAATGGCAATGATCAAAAGTGTAATCAAAAGACCCTGCGTGGGTGACATTTGCATAAAACTCAATCAAAGATATGTCAACAATGAAACATTACACACATGGTTGAGTCATTTGGATTTGCTTATAGAAAGAGAAGATATTTTGATGACAATTCAGAATAGGTCATTAGCAACAGAAATTTTGGAAGGGCTTTCCTGAAGGAGCCTGGATTTCATGATTAATGTAGGTTATGCAAGGAAATGGTGGAGATTATATAGCACATCACTGCAGGCTGTAAAATTGTAGCATCTAGCAAGTATCTAGGAAGACATAACTTGGTATATCAGTTGATACATTAAAACTCATTCTTTTCCAACATTTAATAAATGACAAATCCCCATACTACTAACATAGATTTCAAATGCCCTAAAGAACTCAACCAATAAATTATCCTGGAACTGGGCCATTATCACAGACTGATCTGTTGGCTACATAACATTGATATTATTTCCCAGACACAACGCTGATCCGTTGAAACAAAAATTTTAATATCACTGTACCAAATACGTACACTAAGTACATGAAATGAAAGTGCATGAAATAAAAAGCTTTCAAATATATAGACCTGGTAGAGTACATTAAAATCAGGTCAGAAAAAGGATGACATTCATGACATTCCTGTTCTTCTATCTACTACTGGATTATTGTCATCTATCTACCCCCTAGAAATGCTTGCAGTGAGCCTTCAGAAGATGAGCTTATATTTTAATACTTTTATTCAACTAAAACAAAAAGTTATTTTATCACCTGCCTCCCAAATAATACTGTAGAATATTAGATATAAAGAGGTGATGGCAGGATGGTAATTTTTCTCAAAATAAGTTCTATTTTTTTCAGTGGGACTCACATAGAACCCCCTGAAAATATGAGAATTAGATAATAATTATGATTTTATGTAGCATTTGAAGGTTTGCAAAATGCTTTGCTCTTGACAACCCTCTGAAATAAGTAGTGTGAGTATTGTCCTCATTTTACTTTCCTTGCAAATAGAGAAGGATATGTGTTTTTGTCAGGCTGGTTTGTGTTTGCTAACACAAACCACAGCTCATAGTTAATGTGGACTTAGTAAACAAGGCCATGGGTTTTGCCTGAAGCGCTGGGAGTTAAGTGACTTGATCTGGGTTCTGCAGTTATTTTCGGAGGAAGGGTTTTAACAGAGATCCTTCTAAGTTCCTCATGTTCCCCGTAGTGCAGTGCTGCTTTTATTCCTATCTTATCAATGAGGAAACTGATAATTCAAGAGATCAAGTGACTTGTCCATAGTTACTAGGCTAGTTTCACTTGGGATAGTCCTTGTCCTCTACTTTTACCATGGGTTAGTTGTTTCTGAAGTTATAGATTACTATCAGGGAGAAACATGAGAAAACTCATAGGAATTAATACATGGAAAAGTAAGCAGAACTAGGAGAACTATACACAATAACTATCATGATGTAAATGGAAAGAGCAATAAAATGAAACTGAATGATGTATGATTATAATGAGCAAACTTGGCTCCAGAAGAATTGAGAAAAAGTACCTCCCTCTCTTCACTGAACAGATTAGATTCTATAGTATAGAAGAGCTTGAGGACTGTGCAGAACAAAGCAAATAATCAAGACTGGTTCGTTTTGCTGAACTGTTTCTTTAAACATTTGCTATGAAGGCTTGCTGGGGAGGGGTTAAGATATGCTTGGAATTTTTCTTCTGCTTGCATATTAAATTACTTCCTACTTATGAGGAAATTATATAGAAAAGTTTAAGAAATACAAGACCCATTATATTCACTTTACAAATATGCCTTATGTTATGGTGTGAACTTTAAATGAAATGTTGAAAAGTCTACTTATAACATTACTAGCCCTGAATTATATATTACTTGCCCCTGTTCTTTCAGTCCACAGATGACCGAGTATTCTATTATTTATTTGTGGATAGTCTGAAGCCTATTGAACTTCTGGTTTGCTTTTCTGCATTGGTACGCTGGGGAGAATCTGGAGGTAAGAGATCTATGAAGAAAATAAGTACAATTTTTTTGTGAGGTTAGGGAAGGCACTATGCAATTAAAACAGATAGTTAGATAGATAGATAGATAGATAGATAGATAGATAGATAGATAGATAGATAGCAAGCGGTTTACACTTATTGCCTCAGTTTCCTCACTGTACTGACACTCTTCAGCTCCTTGCAATCTGACTGCAAACCTCACTGCTCTACTTGAATAGTTCTCTTACAGGTCACCAATGTTAATTGCTAAATTGATGCCCTATTCTCAGCCCTTTTCCTTCTTGATATTTCCACAGTATTTAATACTGTGGCCCTTGTCAGTTCCCTTAATCTTACCTTACATGCTAGAGCTTTTCCCTGGTACTTCTATGTCTGACCACCTCTTCTCTATCTCCTTAATTAGTTCATTATGCTTTTCCCACCCCATTAATGTGACTATCTCCAAGATTCTGGTGACTATCTCTAAGATTCTGTCCTTAGGTCTCCTCTCCCCTAGACTGGGCTTTCCTCTCTAATTCCATCCTATGGCTTAAATGATCGTTTTTTGTTCAATTAATTCCCTAAAATTTCTCCTGAATTCCAGTTCTACATTTCTGACTGCCTGCCAGATATTTCCACATGGATATCTGGCCCAGATCTCAAACTAAACATACTGACCTCAGCACCTCCACACCTAAACCAACCTTAACTTACCTTTTTTTTTCTTATTAGGCAATTGGGGTTAAGTGACTTGCCCAGAGTCACACAGCTAGTGAGTGTTATGTGTCTGAGGCCGGATTTGAACTTAGGTCCTCCTTACTCCAGGGCTGACGTTCTATCCACTGCACCACCTAGCTGTATCCAACTTACCTCTTTTAGTTGATGTTGCCATCATATTCCCAGTCATTCAGACTCATTACAGAAACACCACCTTTTATATCTTCTCTTCCCCTTACCTATAACATCTTTTAAATCCATCCCCTTTTCTCTTTTTATGTTGTCACTCTTAATGCCCTCTTTCACGTATTTTTCCAAAATTATTGACTCTCATTCTGTATCCGTGTCCCCTAAGTCTTTGTCCTGAATCTCCTCCTCTTCCATCCCTGTCCCTTCTCTTCCCTTCTCCTCCAGTCTCTTCTTCTCTTCTCCCCTTTTTTCCCCCTACCCTCTCTCAGAGCGCTTTTTAGTCATCAAGGCTCTAATTATTCATTTTTTGTAGAATCTTTATTTTCAGTTCTCATCTCTTTCCTGAACTCCAGTCCTCTATCACCAAACACCTTCAGAACATTTCTACTTAGATGTCCTGTCAGCATCTCAAAATCAATGTCTGAAGCTAAGCTGATTGTTTATCCCTCTCTCTGCCTCAAATCTGACTGTCACCCAAATTTTCCAGTTTCTGGTTTTTTAAATATATTTATTAATTTGTCTATTTGTTTTTAACATTCATTTAAAAATTTTCAACTCCAAATTCTCTCCCTCCCTCCAATCTCTCTCTCACCAATTGAGAAGGCAAGCAATATGATACCCATTACACATGTGAAGTCATACAAAACATATTTCCATGTTACCAAAAAGTGAGAAGAAATAAAAAAAATGCTTCATTCTACACTCAGAGTTTGTTGGTTCTCTCTCTTAAGGCAGATAGCCTTTTTTTATCATGAGTCCTTTGGAACTGTCTTGCATCAATGTCTTGATCAGAGTAGCCAAGTCTTTCACAGTTGTTCATCCTTGTGGTATTGCTATTATTGTGTATAGTGTTCTTCTGGTTCTGTTCACTTTACTGTGCATCAATTCATATAAGTCTTTCCGAAACCATCCTGTTTGTCATTTCTTATAGCACACTCATATGCCATTACAATCATATACCACAACTTGTTCAACCATTTCTCAATGGGCATCCCCATAATTTCCATTTCTTTGCCCCAAGTTGTATTAATGTGGTATTACTACACAGTCACCCAAGTTGAACGTTGGAATCATCCATACTCTTTCCTCTTCTTCACTTCCACATCCAGTCAGTCAATAAATCTTGCCAGTTTATCCCTTCATAACATCTCTTGCATCTATTCCTTTTTCTTCACACATAGAGTGAACACCTTTGTTCATGGCTTTCATCACTCCTCACCTCTACTGTTGGAATAACCTCTTAGTCATACTCCCTGATTTTCCGCTCTGTCTTCTCCAAACCATTTTGTACAGAGATGTCAAAATTATTTTTCTAAGGCACAGACCTTGCTACTCCCCTACTCAAGGAATTTCACTGGCTCCCTTTTGGTTCCAGAATAAATTGCAAATTGCTCATCTTGGCATTTAAAGATCTATACAATATAGATTCATGTCTGCCTTTCTAGGAATTTCATTCTTTTTTTCCATAAATTCTTTAGACAGACTGTCTTCCTCATAAGCTAGATCAAAGGAAATAATGTATGTAAAGCACTTGCATACCTTAAAGTACTGTATAAATGCTGTGTATCATCATCATTATCATCAGAAAAGTACTCTTTTCTTACCTCTGCCTTTTACAACCCTTATCTTCCTTCAAGGCTCAGATTATCTCCTAAACAAAGCTGTTCCCAAGCCCCAATAGTTAGTGTGCTCCTTTCTCAGATTACCTCATGCTTATTTATCTGTTGGTACATTATATTCTCCAGTAATATATAAAATTTTTTAAGGTCAGTAAGTGTTTCTCAATTCTGTCTTTGTATACCCATTCAGGAGCCAGCATCAGGTACAATACTTTGCCTATAATAGATGGTTAACAAATGCTTCTTGAATTTAATAAAATTGAACAGGATTTAAGGCTCAAAGGTGTTCCATGGGTTGATGATCAGACTTCATCCTTAAAGGACAGTGGCACACCATTTTAACTTGATTTTCTTTACTTTTTTCTTAAAGCCTTACAGAAAGACAGTTCTGTCGTAGAACCTGGCCTACTTACAGCAGAAACATTTTCTTGGAAATCTCTGACTCAGCGGAATCTTGTACTAAAGATACATACATATGCTTCCAAAGCTACAATGATTCGCCTTCCTGTTGGGTGTGTAATTGTCTTGGCTTCTCTAATTACAAGAATTTCTTGATACTCTGAATAACCATTATAAAATTCAGTAGTATTGCCTAAGACCAAGTTGTCAAATTCGGTAACTGGTTGCCTGAAACCACCTGAACCATATTAAAATTTAATTAGGAAATGTTTAAAAAAATATGAAAACATAATGTGGAAAATGTTAATTCATAGTTCTTTAAGTCAATATGCTGCCTGAAAGAATCTGTTTCTATTTGAGTTTGATACCATTGGTCTTAGAAATTCTTCACAGTTTATGGTTAGATCATTAATTGTACAGTTTTAATTTAATGTAACTTTTATTTGTAAAAATAAGAAGTTTATTAAACGTGGCTGCTTTGATAATTTCCCTCAAATTCGACAATATAGATAGTTTTCAAGTAGTAACTCATTACATATAATGTGGAAGAAATATCTACTCTGTCAAATGTAACATTTAACAGGATGTTTTTGGTGTGAATCCAAATCTCAATCTTGTTCATGAAGAAATTTAGTGGACTTTATATAATCAGTGACATGCCCTTCCCCCACCTCCTACTATCAAGGATGTGGGAGCTATTGTCCTGTTCTTCTGTATATTTCAGAAGCCAGAAAATAAATTATGAAATATAAAAATTGGCATATAGTACCTAGGGACACCCTTCAACTCTCAGTATATTTTGTAGATAAGGTATTCTGTGGATCTGCCCTTAGAATGTGAACTGCTTGAGGGCAGGGGCCATGATTTTGCCTTTCATTGTATCCATAGCATTTATAACAGTGCGACCATGGTAAATGCTTAGTAATACTTGTTGACTAGCTAAAATTGAAGTCTCCAAGCCCTTTTGAGTGTGCTTACCTTGAATAATCAGCCAGACAATGCAATTATTTAAAGCAAAGGCAGTCAATAAAATGACATAATAATAAATATAGCAACAAGGTGTTTTCCCCATAAGCCTTTCCAACACTTACATATTACTTCAAGAGGAAGAATCAACACCTATAGAGAACATACCTGGAGGGGTACATATGTAAGGAAACTGTATGGCCAACATACTTACTTGGAGGAATAAATCAAGACTTTGATACTCTAGGGCCACTGAGGTCTTCTAGTCATGTCATCATGCTGCTTCTGTCAGGCCTGTTTCGTGCTGTTCTTGTAGCCTTTGCTAGACACATAATCTTTGCAGTAAGCTACTCAACTAGAGTCTCCCCCTGCTTCCAGCTGAAAGCAAGTTCTTGAAAAAATGTGTGATGCCATGCTTTTTTTTTTTAGTATAAAGCCTATATGTATTCTTTCTCTAACTTTTTTTTTAGAAAAGGCAGAAAAATCTGTGCTGTAAAAACCAGGCAAAAGCTTCTTATGTCTTGTTACCCTAGAAATATGCCTTCTGTGCTTTCTCATCTCCCTAGACAAGAATTCCCAACCTGGGGTCCATGAACTTTTAAAAAATATATATTTTCATAATGGTATTTCAATATAAGTAATTTCCTTTGTAGTGTTGTGTATTTTATTTTATGCATTTTAAAGTATTATTCTAAGAAGAGGTCCATAGGCTCTGCCAGAATTCCAAAGGATCAATGACACACACAAAAAATTAAGAACTCTTGCTCTAGAAGGATGTTTTTAGCCCCAGGATGCCAAGCTCATTAGAACAAAAAACAGGATCACCTTAGTTAACTAGGGCTCTTAGACTTAGTCTTTCCTCTGGGCTCCTGAGTTTGGGGCGCCTCAGTCAGATATGTATCATTCATATATACACATACACATATACACACATATATACATATACACACATATGATATGTGATTATTCCACATATATGTGTGTGTGTATATATACACATATGATTATTTTATATATTTCACATTTTTACTTCTGAAGGCTAGAGCATAAACCAGGTAAAAGTTATTTGTCCAATAAATAACAAACTGCCCTGAAATTTGGTATTCCTTGGTTTTTCCTCAGTCCTACTATAAGTCTCGTGTTCCATGGAGTTGAGCAAACAGACGAAGACAAAATGAAACAGCTACTACAAGAAGAGACAATTCTAAACCCAGGGACCAAGGCCATTATGACTGCTCCCTATTCAGCTATACTCCTGGCCCTTTCATGTGCAGGAGGCACCATCAAAATCTGAAAGAGACTTATTCCATATTTAAGACATAGCTCAAATTGCTCAAAACTAGGATAAGAAAGAAAAAAGGGGGCCTTCTTACACCTGCCTATTTACTATCTGTTAAAGGAGTTGATCAGTCAAGAAAGTAGTGATTATACCACTGGGGCCAGCCAAAGTTAATGAATTAATCAAAGGCTGGTTTTGCTTCTCTGTTTCCCCAGCAATCAATCAGTTAGGAAATTGCTTCTATAAACCTAGCAATATGCAAGGTCTGTGGAGAATATTAAAGTACAAGAAATGGTCTGTGTCCTTTAGGAGCTTACAGTCTAGTTAAGAAAACAAAAATGATGGGCTAACAATCTTCCAAGAACAATTTAAGTGTTAAGGAGTTCCCTTTAGTATGATACTCTTGATAGCAGGAAATTTTTTTAAAAAATGTTGAACAATGAATGGAAATGTATAATTGATAACTATTTCTTCACTGTAGAAATTATAAGATCTGGACTCTCAGTTTCTATGGTCCTGGTCAGCTATAAAGTTTTCTTATTTATCCCTTTGGTCTTTGCCATCAGAAAATGATATTCCTATCTGCTTAGATTGGTTATTGGACTTAGCATGCTGAGACTTAGAGGGACACATAGTTGCCCTCTAAATTTGCTTCCTAAAACTAACACTACTTCAAAGAGAATGTTTAGTTATCCTATTCTGTCTTGTCTTTTTTAGGCGGCATATGTTAATTTTTACTGCACATTCACCAGTAGGACATCATATTCACCTGTGCAGCATGGTATCCTTTATCTTTGGAGAAGAAGATGTTGTTATGCCTTATTTTGAGAAGGTACATATTATAACAATTGCTTTTAGACTTAATTGTTGGCCATGGCTTACTTCGGGCTACTGAAAACTTTTAGTTGCTTTTTGCATTCAGAACTTGGAACCTGAAGGATAAGTACAGAATTGGTTCAGAAAGAAAATGATGACTGGATTGTGAACTCCTTGAGAGATGAGACTTTTTTTTCTTTCTTTTTATCCTTAGTGCTTAGCACTAAAATGTCTTCATTTTATTGAGATAAAATATAAAATTTAAAATATAATTTTCATACAAAGATCTTCTGAACTATCATATAAATAAGTAAATGGAACTATTCTTTTATCATTTAAATTTCATAAGTTTTGAAACATAAAATATGACTATGAGATATTCCCAATGGTAATTTAATGCAACAAATTATGAACAAGGCATTTTGATAGTCTTGGGAATATAAGGACGAATATCAAATAATTCCTGCTCTCAAGAAATTTACCTTTTACTGCAATATGAAAATTAATTCAGCTCAAGGTAGTAGATGCAAGGTTTCGATGCATGCCCATATTAACAGTTGAAAAAGTAACAAGATTGAACAGCATCCACAAGCACCATAATTCAAGGAGCCACTGAAAGCATTTGTGGAAATTTTGTATGAAATGCAATCTAATACCCAACCCTTCAATTTCAACAAATGATTCAGTTATTTTTTTCCCCAGATTTAAAAAAAAAAGTGAACTTGTCAACTCAACTCCCTATTGATTGACACAGTTTTTGTCTTTTTTAAAATCTGTGAACATGAAGTGAAGATCAGGTTTATCCTCCAAAGACACTAAACAAAGGATTAATCAAGAGATTTTGATGAAACTCAATTTAAATTATGTTGATTTAATTTAAAGAATACATATAGTTGCAAATTTTATAGAAAACTATGTCTTAGATTAACCTTGAATTTGTGCTTTGAAACAGTCTATAATACTGGAGCCTCTCAGCATTGCAGTTTGGGAATATGATATATTTACATCATTAATATTCATATCAATAGCAGCTGTGTTATATCCTGTTGGAGGGTTTAAATGGTTTAAGTACCCAAATGTATGTTATAGATGAGGATGGAGTCATTCCTTTTCTTGAAGAGTTGAGAGACAGGTATACCTCTTTTTATGCAACTAATGTGCCTCAGAAAAATAAACTGAATTTTTCATAAATATTATTCATATTAACTGTCATTTTAGTTTCTTAACTGTCTTCTCTTCATTTTTATTTATTCAGTTAGCATAATCCCCTACCACTTTAGCTTTACATTTCTTTGACATTCATACCATAAAATTGTGAATGATATGGAAACAGTGGCTGAATATACCGTAACTGTTTGAAAAATGAATTCTTTTAGGGTGTGAATGATTACCCCCTAATTTATGTTTCATCCTATTCTGTTTTCATTAATCAAATTTTCATAAATTAGGACAAGGCAAACAAAACAAAAATTGAAATGCTATAGGATTTTCAGTATGTAGCAAGTTCATTTTGCATGTTACTATATATTATTTATATCAGGCCAATGGAAAGGAACAAAGTCATTTCCCTTCTTTGACTCTATGAACCTGTAATTAAGTAAATAATCGAATGATTTAGCAATTCTTATATTAGTAAGTGTGCTGTAGTGAATAGAGAACCATCCTCAGAGTCAGGAAGAATTCAGGTCAAGTCCTGACTCTGATACATATTGGCTCTGTGATCCTGGCTAAGTCACATTTAACTCCTCAAATGGCTCTGTAAGACTAAGTTACAGAACAGGTGCTTCTCTGCATTAGATGAAATTTATCAATATATGAACGAAATCCTATGTTCAGTTTAAAAAAATATAGTAGTAGAAATAAAATGGCTGTACTATAGATAAGACTTTAATAAATTCAGGTGATTAATAGTTGACTGTTCCACAGGAAAGCCTACAGTTTGTAGAACATGCTGTGAAAATCTTAAAAGCTCTTGGATCTGTTATGAGTAGTTTCAGAGATAAAGAAAAACTTGATGTTGCTATGAAAGAATTACGGATGGCTCACTATCCTCCAAACCTTAATGATAAGGAGCTATCGGAACAACACTTCAAGGTAAATGGGTGTATGTGCCCTGTTTCTGAAAGGATATCAGGTTGACACTAGGTTTTGCTTATGTTGTACTTTGTTATTTTTTTCCTTATTATTAAATTCTTGGTATGCTATGAAAGGAACCATCTAATTCTATATTCTGAAGTCCCCAGATAATTATTTTATAACCTCATTATTTCCTAATATCAGTGTATCTCAAAGTTACAAGGGACCTTGGCTGCCATCTTGTTCAATACATTACTTAACAGTAATCCTTTCCACCAGAAAAGTGGGCATATGTCCTTTGCCTGAAGTCCTTCAGTGAAAGGAATGTACTATTTATGGGCAACTAGGTGGCACAGTGGATACAGCACCATAGTCAGGAGGACCTGAGTCCAAAACCATCCTCTGATGCTTACTAGCTGTGTGGCCCTGGGAAAATCACTTAATCTCTGTTTGCCTCAATTTCCTCCTCTGCAAAATGGAGATAATAATAGCACCTACCTCCCAGGATTGTTGTGATGACCAAGTGAGATGATAATTGTAAAGCACACAAATGCTAAATTTTATCATCATCATTATTATTTTTGCTATTCTGCTGAGGCAACCTATTCCAGGTTTGAAGATCTCTAACTGATAAGATGTTTTGCCTTATATCAAATCTAAATTTGCCTCCGTACAACTTCTAACCACTGTTCATAATTATGTCCCCTTGGGCCAAACAGAACACATATATCCTTCTTCCATTTGTTAACCTTTCTAATCCTCTATCCCCCAAATCTTCTCTTCTAAAGGCTATCACTATTTCCTTCAACCTGTTTCATTTGACTTAATCTTGTAACCCTTTGCCATTCTAGTTTCTATTCACTCTAGACTCTCCAACTTATGATTGGCTTTCTTAAATGAGAGAATTGTAAATCAACACTGTCCTTGAAAAATGTAGCCTGACCAGGGATGAGTATAGGTGAATTCCTACCTACTTTTCCCAGATCTTGTGCCTCTCAGTGCAGCCTAAGTTTACACGAGCTTTTCTGTTTTCTGTTTCACTCTTTATGCACATTGAACTTCTTTTTGACTCTTTACCATCCTTTACTTGTAAAGTAGATTTTTTTGAACACAAGTAAGATAATTTGCACTACCTTACAAAATCTCATCTAATAATATTTATATAACACTATGTACCAGTCACTATGCTAAGTGATTTATAAATATTATCATATTTGATCCAAATGACAACCCTGGAAGGTAGTTATTGTTATCTCTATTTTACACATGAGAAACCTGAGGCAGACAGAGGTTATTTAACTTGCCCAAGGTCACATAGCTAATAAGTGTCTACTCTAAGCTGCTTTGTTCTGCATTATCTAGCCGTCCCCTTACTATATTCAACCCAATTTTCTAATACCTCAATATATTTATGGATGCTGATCTTGTTATACAATATGCTGTCTATTCCACCTAGTAGTCAATTTAACAAGCATTCCATTTATCCCCTTATCCAAGACATTGATAAAAATATTAAATGGCAAAGGGCCAAGTATAGAATCCTGTGGTGCATCTCTGGAAACCTTCTTTCAAGCTGATACTGAACCATTAATAATTCTCTTTGGCTTTGGGCCAGTTAACTATTTTTGAATTCACCTACTTATAGCATTGCGTAGCCCGTATCTCCCTGTCTTTTCAATAAGAATAGGATGAGGGACTCATCTATCAGTCTAGTAATAATCAGAAAAGGAAGTGAAGTTACTCAGGCATTACTTGTTCTTTATCAAGCCATGCTTACCAGCATTCATTTTATCATTGTTTCTTTTTGTCAATATTCATTAACCATCATTTTTAATAATGTGTTCTAGAATTTTGTAAGGAATGAAAGTAAAGCTCACTGATCTACAACTTATTCTATACTTTCTTCCCTTTTAGGTAAGATATTCTCCAGTTCTGTGATACTTCTCTTAAAAGTTAAAGATCATTTACTGTTCAGTAATCACTGACAATGACTGAATAATCACATGTACATCTTTCATTTTCTTGGGAGGCAGCATATGTTACATAAGTGTTGTTATTATTCCTTAGTACTCTGTCCTACTGGGAGCTAGGTGGTACAGTGGATAGAATGCCAGGCCTGATGTCAGGAAGACTCATCTTCCTGAGTTCAGATCGTGTCTTAGTCACTCACTAGCTGTCTGACCCTGTACAAATCACTTAACCCTGTTTGCCTCAGTTTCCTCAACTTTAAAAATGAGCTGGAGAAGGAAATGGCAAACTGCTCTAGTGTCTTTGTCAGGAAAACCCCAAATGGGGTCATGCAGAGTTGGACATGACTGAAACAAATGAACAGCAGCAACAGCAACAACTGTATCTTATCTAGATTGGTTATTACAGAAGAATTTTTCTCCGTCTCCCTTTTCAGCTTAAAATAGTTTTGGTTAGAGTTAGATTTATAAGACTCCTTCTTAGTTATGTCCTATCCCTGGCAAATGGCTTACCATTCTTAGATTTTAAGCCATACTCCATAAATCCAAATTTGATTTAATCAGTCAGCCTTTTAACAAATCTCTATTGAGTTCTTGCTCTGTGTAAGACACCGTGATAGTATTGGAGATACAAAGATAAATCCATACCCAAGGCCAGAAAACAAAAAGATTAATTGAAAGTAATTACAAAGTATCTGTAATGAATATATAATCCTGATAAACTTTTTGAATTTGTGAGATTAAAAAAATTAATGCTACAATGTTTTGTTACTTTATTAAAGTTGAAAGAATGTTTTTATTTATAATTTGTAATTGACTTTGACACTGATAGAAATAACAAGTAGAAGAAAGACACGTTTAGTCTCTAAGACTTCAGAATTAAATGAGACAAAGTATATGCAAAAGAAAGTTAAGGAATAATGCCAGACAATAATTGATATCCTTCCAAAGTGAATGTTACATATAATCTGGTATGGTTCAAAGAAGGAAGAGATATATAGGGAGTGGAATGTTAGGGGAGGACTTTCTGAAGTTAAGAGTTGAGTTGGGCTTTGAAGAATGACCAGGATTTGGATTTGTGGATGCCAAAGAAGAACACTGCAAGTATCTGGAACAGTCAAAATTTAGTCTTAAGGTTGAGAATAAGCATGTTATGTTTAGGATCCATGGATTAGATTCCATGGTTCTATGTGTTTATAGATTATCTATGCATATTTATTATTGTGTAATATCTTTTAAATAAATCAGAACTTTCTCTGAGATCACTAAAATCTCTTAGTTGGTAAACCTAATTACTTTTTTCTCATTTCTCTCTCTTTGACTTTTTAAAAGGAATTTAACCTTTATACCACTTTTTTAATCTTAAAACTCTTCCCTCAGTGTCATTGACACAGTGCCCTCTCCTTGTTCTCTTCCTACTTTTCTGACTGCTCATGTTCTCTTCTTTTATTTATATTCCTCTTTCAGCCCTCTAATTGTGGATATCCTGTCCCCTCAAGGCTTCGATCTTGAATCTGGTCTCTTCTGTCCTTACCATCTTAATTTTGGCAACCTCATCCATTTTTTGTATTTGGCTTTAATTATGACTTCTATGGAGATAACTTTCAAATGGTCCAAATCCAACCTTGGTCTTTACCCTCAGCTCTAGCCTTCTGTTTTCAAAATGCTGTTGGACATATTCCAATTCTTTCACTTCTCACCATCTTCATTGCACACGTGCGTTCGCGCGCGCACACACACACACACACACACACACACACACACACACAGAGTTACTCCTGCCAACTTCCATATTTCTTTTGTTAGTATTGTAAGTTTAACAAGAACAATGAGAACGGCAATGATAATGATAGTGCAAGGCCTTAAAGGTTTCTTATCCAAGATCACCAGTGTGTTGCACACACTAAGTACTTGTATATTTGTTGAATTGTGCCTGGAAATGGGGAACTAGGCTCAGAGTCAGGAAGACTGGGTTTAAATCCCATCTCTGACACATACTGACTCCAGACCGTAGACAAGACACCTGACCTTTCAATGCCACCAGGCAACTCTCTAAGCTTATAAGATGCGCTCTTGTAGAAGCATCTCCTCCTTGGGAGCTCTCTACACAAATAAAACCACAATTACAGTTTTGTTGTTGTTGTTGTTTTTTAATGAGCTATCCTGATAGGAGAATAATCCTAAATCCTTTTTTTTAACCTAATTGTAGGTTTTCTGTCTTTCTTTATGGCGCTTGCTGAAAAAACTATTTGGAGTTAAGGCTCCACCCAATTTCAGATTTGCATTCCGAGCTCTTACTTTGGACTTCTCCACACTTGATACCTTCCCAGAAGAGGCTTCTTTAGGTATTAGTTATTTTTAGTTATTGGTTTTATTCCTTTATGGCATTGTAATAACTAAAGGAGTTGACTGAAACGTAACAGAAAAGGACCCTGGAGCCTGAGTTAGGAAATCGGTCCCAACTCTTGAAATAGGTAACTTTGGGTAAATCTTTTTACAAAACTGTTTTGGCCTCTGATGATTTACATATAAAATGATGGTGTTAGGCTAGAGCAGAGATTAATTGTTTATTGCTTTTTTTTTTTTAGTTATAGTCCCTTTTCTTTTGCAAGTCTGGTGAAACCTATGGACCCTTTAAGCAGAGTAATGTTTTTAAGCAATTGAAGGAAATGCTAAATTTCGGTTAGAAGTTAGTAAAAATACATTCTTTTAATCTATCCACGGACTGTTTAGGCATCATGGACTTCAGGTTACACACCCCTAGACAAAATTATCTCTGTGGTGCCTTCTAACTCTACATTTATTTGATTCTAAAAAATTTGGATTCAAGGCTGTTGCCTGTCTTTGCACATAGACGGAAATAGAAATAGCCTACAATTGAAGGGTGTTAGGAAGGCCCCTACACCAGCCTTCCAAATGGCTTACTTCTCCTCTATATAGTATTTGCTCATCCTTTCAATTATATCTCAAGCCTAGGGCATAGATTGCAATGTTCTGGCTTTGTTGTCGCAAAAGGAAATAATCTCTTAAAGCTAATTCTTACTAGCCTACAATTGACTTTATTTGGTAAGGAGAATTGTATTTTGGAAGAAATTGCCTAGAGAAGACAAACTTAACATAGAGTAGAGAATAACTTTCAGTATAGGCAGTGCTTTTTTGTTTTGTTTTTCCTAGTCATTCCCACTTAACTCAGGAACAGAGAAGATAGGAGTTGATGATTATGCCTAACATGTATATAAGGTAGACATTCTACCTACCATGTGAATATGGCACCTTCTTTATATCTATCTATATAGGTAAATATAGATACAGATAGACATATAGATATCTATCTAGATATATAGATGTCAATATATTGATATATCTATACATATCAGTTACTTGTTACATTTATGAATGTGTTATGTATGTATACATATGTATATATGTAAAAGAAAGAGCCCTGTTAGCATGTATGTGTGTGTAGATATGTGTTTATAAGTGTGTGTATATATTTTTCTTGTTAGCATGGCAGGAAATATACATGCATGTATATATGTCTATATGTATGTACATAAACACATGCATGTGTGTAAATGTAGGTGTATATACACCTACATATATACTTACATATATATGTATGTATGCATGTATGTGTGTGTATATATATGTGTATATATATATATATATGTATGTGTATGTGTGTGTGTGTGTGTGTGTGTGTGTGTATATATGAGCTTATTAAGGGGAAACTGCTATATAAATAGCCCTGAGAAAGATATCATGCAATTTCCATTACATCCTTATAATGCAAAGATAAGAATTTGAAATTTTCTGTGGGTGATAATTGAACTTCCTAAATGGATGAAAACTGTTTGAAAAATCATAGCACTTGAATAGGCCAAAGGCATATTGAAAATTTTACAGAAAAGTTGAGAATAAGTTTAAATTCAATTCATTTTTTTTCTCCCCCAGTGGAGTGGGTAGATATTAAATATCCTGTTGTGATAGAAGACAGAAACTACTCTTGTGAAGAATTAGTGGCAGCAATTAGACTGCAGGCTTACTGGAGAGGAACTTATGTTAGGCTCGTCATGAAGGCCAGAAAACCAGGTAAACTTTTGATGATTTAATGTAAATAATATAAAACATCAGTATAACCAATTAAACTTGCTTCATGACTATTTCTTTTTAAATAGATTCAAGTTCAACCCATGAAATGTCATATTTTTTCATTCTATCAATCAAAGACTCCATCAGGATTCTGTATTCATTTTTACATGTGTGTGGTTATAGTTAGCGTGTGCTTTTGTTTATATATATGAGTGTGTGTGCGTGTGTGTGTGTGCATACATGTGCGTGTATGTGCATGCATGCACTTTGCATTGCTTCATTTCTATTCAGTACAGTTCAATAAACATTAATTAAGTGTCTACCTTATATGCTAGTCGCTGTGCTAAGCTCTTAAAACCAAGCAGAGCTGCTGATGGAGAATGGAGAGTTACCTGGAAAGTTCTGAAAGTGCAGAGTCTTCTATAAAGGAAGGCTTTGGAAGGAATTTATTGCTCTGCCCTCTAGTCCTCCAGAGGGGAGAGGCATCTGAGGGAGTCGAAAAAGTATCAAAAACAGAGCTGAGAATTTATCAAAAACTGAGTCAATTTAACGTGTGATCAGCTTCTTCTAGTGAAAGGCATCATGTTCCATGGAGTAGAAACCCAGCAGAGCAGCTGATGGAGAATGTAGAGTTACCTGGAAAAACTTCATATAACATTGTTTTTCAGCACTTATAAAAATATTCCTCATACTAAGATGTCCCATAGGCATCTCAAACAATACATTAAAACAGAATTATCTCTTCCCTTCCTCTCCCCACTTCTATTTCTAACTTCCCTATTTCTAGAGGGTACCCTACCGTCCTTCCAGGTACTCAGGTTTACAACCTCACAGTCATTCTCAACTTTTCAGTTTGACTCACCTCTCATATCTAATTAATTGTTACATCCTATAATATAAATTCTTCCTTTACGACTTATTTCATGTGTCCCTTTCTTTCCAGTCACACTTCTATTGCCTGAGTTCAGACCTTCATTATCTTTTGTTTATACTACCATGACAGTTTTTAAAATGATCTATCTCTAATCATTCCCTTCTCCACTGTATCCTCCACACAGCTACCTAACTAATATTCCTAAAGTAAAAGTCTGACTATATCACTCCTGATCAAGGAAATTTAGTAGCTCCCTGTCACCTCTAAGATAATATGCCAATTAATCTATTTGTCGTTTAAAGTCCTTCAAAATCTGATTAAATCCTATCTTTTCAAAGTAATTGCACATTATTCTCCCTCATGTATACTACTTTCTAGCCAAACTTTTAAAAAATTTCTATTCTTCATAAACAACATTCCAATACTCATCTCTGTGCTTAGAATGCTCTGCCTTCTCACTTGTGCCTTTTAGAATTCCTAGGTCCCCTCAAGACAATTCAATTACCATTTCATACCATGCCTTTTCTGATCATCTCTGTTAGTGTCCCTCCCAATTATTTTGTATTTACTTATCTGTATACATACTCTTTTCCCCACTCCTCAGCCCCCATATAAGCTTCCTGAGAGCTGGGATAATTTTGTTTTTTATTTGTATCCTCAGTACCTATTCGTTGCCAACCACATAGTAGGTGTTTAAGAAGTACTTGTTAAATGAATGTCTTGAACCTTAATTATACTATGTATACTTCATTACATGAATGTACCAAAATTTATTTAACCATGTCCCTATTGGATATTCAGGTTGCTTCTAATTTTTGCAGTTACAGTGTCCTTTAGATGACATGTTGATTGGACTGATTTCTTAGATGTGATAATTCATGCTGTATCTCTGGTGAAAAGAAATGATCTGTTCATGTAAATCTTAATTACAGTAATTTGGTTGATTCAAATGATATTCTATGAGTTATGAAATAAAGGTAAAGGAGGATGCACTCAATTACAATATTGTACTAGGAATTAGGAGACCTGGGCTCTAGTACTGGTTCTGCCACTAATGAACTTTGATTTCATGCAAGTTGCTACTTCTCTTGATATCAGTTTTCTCAACTGTAAGATAAGAGGATTGGATGATATGATCCCATAAGTCCCTTGTAGATTTTAAGTTCTTTGATTTCTTTTTGTTATTTTCAGACACAAAGCAAAATATTGATGTTTCAGACACTCTACAGAAAATTTGGAGTTTGCTGGATTTAAATTTAGAACAATATTCAGTCTCTCTCTTAAGGTAACAGGCAACGTAAGCCATTTCCATATTGTACTGACACGCATCATCTTGTTATAATGACTGAATCCTTAATATATTTATCTAAATTATTTATTATTTATCTAAATATTTATCTAAATTATTTGAGGAAGTACCACAATGATTCAGATTAATTTTCAATTAGTATGGTGCCAATTTTAAGATTAATATTTTTAGCCTCTCCTGCATTTCAATCCTATAGGTATTTTGAGTGTTGCAGTGTCCTTCATTTATAAGTTGCTATCATGATGACCATTATTAAATGAGAAGCTTAATTTCAGTGTATTTGTTATTTATATATCTCCAATTATTAGTCTAATAGACACTTTAAAACCAAAATGAAACTGAGTTGCCAATTTAGTTAACCAGTTTGACAAAACACCATGGTTACATTAGAATATTTAAACTTTTCTCCAAGTGTTGAAGTGACAATGAAGAATCTTTTATTCTTCCTTCTATTGAATTTATAGTATACAAAATCATTCATATAAAGCTTTAAGGGACCCTCTAGTTCAATGCCTTTATTTTACAGATGAGGAAACTGAGACTCAGGTTATATAACTTGATGAAAAAATCACACAGCTGCTAAGTGTCAGAGGTAGAGTTTGAAGCAAATTCTTCCCAACTTCAGTTATAAAGGCTGGATTGTAAACAATGGATTTGTAGTTAGAGAACCTGAGTTCAAATTTTGGTCTCACTACCTTCTCACTATGTGACCCTTAGGTAAGCTCTTTTTTACTTCTCCAACTCTGTTTCCCCATCTGTAAAATAAAAGATTTGGACTATACTGTCTGTAAAGACTCTTCCAGTATATAAAAAAGAGGTATGTTCTGATGCTACGTGCATCAGTGCTACCACCACAACCCTTTCTCCTTTATCCTACTCTCCTTTGACTGCCTACAACCTCCCAACCAATTTCTCCCTTAGTCAGATGAAAGATTCATTTGATCTGTTACTGCTTCAGGTTGTCCTCACAACTCATTGGTTTAATCTGATTCAGAACCCTGTCTTACCTTCTTTTTAAAGCTCCTGTACAGTCATATTAAAAAAATTAATATCACCCAAGCCACTCTCTCCATTCCTTCCAAGTAGATTTAATGCCTACTTTATCTGTTCATTTACTTCCTCCTTTGGCTCTTTTTTCATAGCACAGAAGCAATATGATGGAGCATTGGACTTGACATCAAAAGGAAATCCTGGTTCTTACATTTATTATCTTTGTAACCAAAGGCCAGATGCTTAATTTCTCTGAAGCTATTTCCTCATCTCTAAAATTGGGCTGTTAATATTTACACTAAAGTATTTTTCAGGGTTGTTGAAAAGAAAGTATTTTGTAAATCTTAATGGATCACATAAATGTAGCCTATTAATTCTTCATTTATAATATACCCTCATTTCTTCTGCATTTTTTAAAAAAATAATTTTTGCTGAAATTTTTTTTTATTTAAAAACTCCAAATTACTAAGTAAAAACTGTGATTTTGCTAACAGATAGCAGGCTCTTTAGCCACAGTCCCTATGCATACAACCTCAGCATGCCACCCAGTTTTTGGATGTCTTAGAGGTTGCCTGTCCAAGTATAACTACAGCCTTTGGATGCTCTTTTTTCACATTAGTCATGTTGTAAAGAAGAATTAGAACAAATAGGAGAAACCACAAGAAAGAAGAAACAAAAAAAAAAAGAGAGAGAGAGTAAATAGTATGCTTCGATCTGTATTCAGACTCCACAGTTCTTTTTCTGGACATGGATAGAATTTTCCATCATGAGTCCTTTAGAGTTGTCTTAGATCCTTGCATTGCTGAGAAGAGCTAAGTCTATCAAAGTTAGTCCTTGCACAGTGTTGCTGTTACTGTGTACAATGTTCTCCTGGTTCTGCTCACTTCACTCAGCATCAGCTCATATAAGTCTTTCCAGGTTTTTCTGAAGTCAGCCTGCTCATCATTTCTTTTGGAACGATGGTATTCCATTACATTCATATACCACAATTTCTTCAGCCATTCCACAATTGATGGGCATCCCCTCAATTTCCAATTCTTGGCCACCATAAAAAGAGCTGCTATAAATATTTTTGTACATGTGGATCCTTTTTCCATTTGTATGATCTCTTTGGGATCCAGAACTAGAAGTAAAATTGTTGGATCAAAGGGTATGCACATTTTTGTAGCCCTTTGGGCGTAGTTCCAAATTGCTCTCTAGAATGGTTGGATCAGTTCCTAACTCTACCAACTATGTATAATAAATGTATAATATAACAATGTATATTAGAATATATTATAATAATTGTTATATATAATTATTATATTATATTTATATATAAATATATTATATATATCCTATATAATATAACAATGTATAATAAATGAACATTTATCATTTATCTGTTTTGTCATGTTAGCTAATCTGATAGGTGTGATGTGGTACGTCAGAGTTGTTTTGATTTGGCATTTCTGTAATCTGTAGTGATTTGATGTCTTTAATTTCTTCATCTGAAAACTGCTTGTTCATATCCTTTGGCCATTTATCAATTGGGAAATAATTTGTATTCTTGTAAATTTGACTCAGTTCTCTATATATTTTAGAAATAAGGCCTTTATCTGAGACACTGGCTGTAAAAAATGTTTCCCATATTTCTGTTTCCCTTCTAATCTTAGTTGCATTGGCTTTGTGCAAAACTTTTTCAGTTTAATGTAATCAGAATTATCCATTTTGCATTTCATAATGTTCTCTATCTCTTGTTTGGTCATAAAATCTTCTGTTCTCCATACATCTGACAAGTAAACAATTCCTTGCTCTCCCAGTTTGCTTATAGTATCAGCCTTTATCTCTAAATTGTGTACCCATTTTGTCTTTATCTTGGTATACAGTGTAAGGTGTTGGTCCATACCTAGTTTCTGCCATACTATTTTCTAGTTTTCCCAGCAGTTTTTGTTAAATAGTAAGTTCTTATCCAGAAGTTAGGGTCTTTGGGTTTATCCAGCAGTAGATTACTACAGTCATTGACTACTGTGTCTTATGTACCTAACCTATTCCACTGATCCACCATTCTTATTTCTTAACCAGTACCAAGTAGTTTTGATGATTGCTGCTTTATAATACAGTTTAAGATCTGGTATTCTCCTGTTCATTTTCACAGTCTCTTACCTAATCTGGGGCATCAAACTACTACAGTAGCTTCTCAATGAGTTTTCCTGCCATCTATTTCCAACTACAATTTTTGTTGCTCAGACCTACCATGTCCTATTAATCCTATAATTCTTTTAATTAGATTCTATGAGATTTCTCCATTGTCATTCTCACTCCATAGGAGTGAGAACACTTTTTGTTCTTTAGGATAATTGATCCACAGGAAGAAGTAAATACTTTTGGAAATGAAATTATCTTCTGTAAATGAGATAACATATAAATACAAATGTAAAATATTATGTAGTATTCTAAGGTAAACAAAAAGAAAAGAAAAACATTTGAAAATAAAATTATCTTCTATAAATGAGATAATATATGTAAATGCAAGTATAAATTATGATGTCATATTCTGAGGTAACAAACAAAAAAGTTAGTTGATTTAGTGTTGATTTTTTCTTAGAGGAATTAAAAGGACCAAAAACATGAAGAATTTTACCCAAGTTAGGTGAAGGAAGAAATGGAGGAAAAAATAGGTTTGGGGGAGGTATGGAAGGAAAAAAGTGAGAGGCTTTAAGAAAGGGGGGAAGGGAAGGGTATAATATGCAAAGACATGTTAAGAGAGATAATGAAGAGAAGCAGAAAGGAAGGCACAATCACAGGGAAAGATGAGGTAGTGAGAGATTTAATGTGTTTTAGTCATTAGGAGTTTTTGAGGTCATCCTTGACTATACCTTTGAGTAGTATCTGTGACCTCATACTTCAGCATTTCAGTAATGCCTCTGTGATCACATTGATGTAGGAATGCTTTCCTTTGGTGTAAATTGGAACCAATCCATACTTTCTCATCTTATATGATTCTTGTTTATGTGCTATCCAGTATATCCCATACATCCACAGAGAATCAGACCCAATGAACTAATTCTTTTGTATGCTTTGAAGGCACCAACTTGGGCTTTCTTTTAGTAATGATAATAATAACATTTTCATAGCACTTAACTATATGCTGGGAAGGGTGTGAAGCACTTTACAAATATTATTCCATTTGATCCTCACAACAACCCTGGGAGGTAGGTGCTATTATTATCCTGGTTTTGTAGTTGAGGGAACTGAGGCAAACAGAGGGTGATGTGCCCAGAGTCACAGATTTAGTGTCTAAGGCTGTATTTGAATTCTGATTTCCCTGACTATAGGTCTTATACTCTCTCCACTGTGTTGCCTAATTGCAGAAGATATCTTAAGTTACTTTTAAACTTATTGCTCTTTTTCTCCTATTTAATTCAAGGTCCAACTCATTGTCCATCTTAAGCTCTGTCCCAAATATATGTGCTGATGTACTAACTCAGTGGGAAAGTTATATTCTGGACAGTGACTTTTTTTTTTTATTAATTTAGGTTTTTTTGTATCGATTATTAGACAGAGTTCATGAATGATTATGAGATTTCATTAGGGAAACCCTGAGTGTTCTGGGGCTTAATGCAATCAGCATAATATCATTGGCAAACATCTGGAAGGACATCTATAAAAAATTGTTTTTTTCCATTTGAACTTTGTGCAAAGCAACATTCATAAACATGATAAACAACTTGGCTTAACATACATCTTCCTGTTTTGTGTTGTGTTTGTCTTTAATTATCAGAAGGCCATTGATGTCTATGATTGCATTTGTCAAACAATATATTGTTACCTTAACATAGGGATAAAAGATTTTCCCCCTCAGAACAACCTTTAAGACCATGTTTTATTCTACTGAGTCAAATGCTTTTTTTTATGATCAGCAAAAACCCACTAAAATATCTAATATTCTCTTAACATTTCAGTCAGTTACAACTCTTTAAAGATGTCATCTGTCAAGCATTGTTTGCGAAAGTCTGATCCTTACTTATATTTCATCAAAGAAGCCCTGGTAGATCATGTAGCATATGTAGGTCACTTTCATAAAAGTGTTTTAAATATGAAAAGTAGGCATATGGATCTCTAGTTACTAATTTGATAACTTTCCCCCATATGTCATCTTGGTGTTTCCCCTCATCTTTCTGGTATCTTTCCTTCCCTAAGATATCTTAAAAAGTATTCCCTTAATGCTTTCAAGGTCCTATTGCCTTTGACATGGATTTCCTGAGGTTTGGTTTTTTAAAAAATCTTGTCCAGTTATTCTTACTGATTATCTTGCTGTGTCATTTTGATTTCTTCATATGACACTTTGACAGCAGAGATATTGAGTCCAAATGTAATTGTCCTTTTACGGATGATGGAAGTGGATTGTTATAGAAATAGTGATAACTTTATTTTTCATCTCTCCTCAGAGTTTTATCTCTGCATGATCTTGGGATAATGTGGCTCACTTATATCTCATTCATCCTTCCTTTCTGTGAGGCAATTGGGGTTAAGTGACTTGCCCAGGGTCACACAGCTAGTGTCAAGTATCTGAGGCTGGATTTAAACTTAGGTCCTCCTGACTCCAGGGTTGGTGCTCTATTCACTGTGCCACCTAGTTGCCCTCCCTTCAAAAAAACCCCCAAATTTTCTTTAGTCCTGTTCTTGCTTCCATTGTTTTTTGTTGCTACCTTGTCTCTTACATACGTACTGTTGAACAAAGGTGCAGAAAATCTACAACTGTTCTGATTAAGTTTGCCACAAATTTGTTACATAAACTCACTGCTGCAAGACAATCCTACTATTCCTCCCTTAGCAACCCACATTTTCTCCTCTCACTCTCTTCCTAATCCCTTGCAATCCAGCTTCTGATTTTGAAATTCTACTTCCCCCATCTTCACCCCCATTGTAAAATCTCATACCTCTTTTATATCAGATTTACCCCATTCTACTTCTCCCTTTCTCCATCTCCTAGTACATTCTTCTTTCTTACCCCTTTATTTTATTTTTATAGATAACCATCCCATCATATTCAACTCACACCCATGCCCTCTGTCTATGTAGACTTCTTCTAACTGCCCTAATAATGAGAAAGTTTTTAGGAGTTAGAAGAATCATTTTCTGTATAGGAATGTAAATGGTTTAACCTTATCGAATCCCTTATGATTCCTCTTTCCTGCTTACCTCTTTATGTTTCTCTTGAGTTTTGTATTTGAAAGTCAGATTTTTTTTATTCAGCTCTGGTCTTTTCATCAGGAATGCTTGAAAGTCCTCTATTTCATTGAATAGCCATTTTTTCCCCCTGAAGGATTATAATCACTTTTGCTGGGTAGGTGAGTCTTGGTCATAATCCTACTTCTTTTGCCCTCTGGAATATCAAATTCTAGGCCCTCTAATCTTTCAGTGTAGAAATTGCTAAATCTTGTGTTATCCTGACTGTGGCTTCACAATATTTGAATTGTTTCTTTTTAGCTGCTTGTAGTATTGTCTCCTTAACTTGGGAGCTCTGAAAGTTAGCTATAATACTCCTAGGAGTTTTTATTTTGATATCTCTTTCAAGTGATTAGTGAGTTTTTTTTTCAATTTCTATTTTATTTCTATTTTCTAGAATATCGGGGCAGTTTTCCTTGGTAATTTTTCGAAAGATGCTGTCTAGTCTCTTTTTTATCATGGCTTTCAAGTAGTCCAATAATTCTTAAATTATGTTTCCTGGATCCATTTTCCTGGTCCTTTGTTTTTCCAATGAGATATTTCACATTTCTTCTGTTTTTTTTTATTCTTTTAATTTTTATTTTATTGTTTCTTCATGCTTCATAAAGTCATTAACTTCCACTTGCCCAATTCTAATTTGTAAGGAATTATTTTCTTCAGTGAACTTTTGTATCTCCTTGTCCATTTGGCTTATTCTACTTTTTAAGGAGTTCTTCTCTTTAGTGAATTTTTGTGTATCTTTTTCCATTTGGCCAATTCTGCTTTTCAAGGCATTCTTCTTTTCATTGCATTTTTGTGCCTTTTTACCATTTGGCCTATTCTGTTTTTAAAATATTATTTTCTTCAGTATTTTTTGTGCCTCCTTTACCAAGCTGTTGACTTTTTATCCATGATATCCTTACATCACTCTTATTTCTCTTCCCATTTTTTCCTCTACCTCTTTTACTTGATTTTAAAAATCTTTTTTGAGCTCTTCCATGCCTTGAGGCCAATTCACATTTTTCTTTGAGGCTTTGGATGGAGGAGTTTTGACTTTGTTGTCTTCTTCTGAGTTTGTGTTTTGATCTTCCCTGATGCCAAAGTAACTTTCAGTAGTCAGGATCTTTTCCTGATGTTTGCTCATTTTTCCAGCCTGCTTCTTGACTTTCAACTCTGTGCTAAAGTGGGACTCCTCTACTTCTGTCAACTCTGTGCTAAAGTGGGACTCCTCTACTTCTGGAGTGGAGAGAACATTGTTGCAAGCTTCAGTTTTTTGTGGTTTTTTTTTTTTGTGCAGCTATTTTCAGGGGGTAATTCTGGAGACTTGAACGTTTTCAGTTCTTCCAAGGTAGAATGATCTAAAGAGAGAGATGTTTACTACCCTTCTAGCCTATGGGCTGGTTTGTGAGTGACCAGAAGCGCTCTTTTCTACCCTGAAACTGTCATCACGGTCCCAGCTTCCCTGTGGCTGCAAGCTCTGGCGTGCTAGTGTTCCTCCTCACCCTGGGACTGAGACCCAGGACTGTGACCCAGATCCGAGTATGGATTATGCAACAGAGCTCTGCCCCTGGAGCCAGCAAAAGGACCTCTGTAATCTCCTTCTGACCAGCTGTCCAACTCCCTTACCACTGTGGATTGAGAGGTCTGGAAACTGCCACCGCCACCATAGATTCAGTTGCCCCCAGGGTTTGCTGTAGTTTCCTGGTGGTGGCCTGTGCTGGACTGTGCTCCATTCTCACTCTGATACAACAGACCTTTCCTGCCAATTTTCTAAGTTGTCTTGGGCTGGAAAATTGTTTCACTCCATCCTTTTTTTGGTTCTGATGCTCTAGAATTTCTTTTGAGGAATTACTTAAAGGTGTTCAGGGGGATTTTGAAGAGAATTCAGGTGAGTCCTCCATGCACTTTCTCAACCATCTTGGCTCTCCATCTTCCTAGGAGATTTTCTTAAGATATGCATTCATAATCTTGCCATATATATCAACTCCCATGATTCTTTCCTTTCCTACTTACTACCTTTGTGACCTCAGACAAGTCATTCAATCTTTTTGAGCCTAATTTTAAACTTAGGGGCCAAACTAGATTACCTTTCAGGTACCTTCTACCTCTAAATTTATATCCTGTGATTCTATGCATCTTTGTTATATCTTCATTTCTTCAGAATATCAGGTAATTTAACACATTGCTCATGTAGAATACACATTGTTATTTAGTTAATTGTTATTTAGTTAAAAGATGTTCACTGGTCCATCTTCTGTCATTAGCCTTTGGGGTTCAAGGATCAAGTTTATTTATCTTGCTTTGTAGAATCCTCATAGAGATAGTCACACAATTATTTTTGATGATAATAGAAGATATGTTATATAGAGATAGTAAAGCTCTGGGGCTTGCTCTCTCATTCCCCTACTCCATTGTTAGATTGGACCCTAGAACTCACCTAGTTACTACTCCCTCCGCAGTTCTAGGGGGTAACCCTGAGATGTTGAGGGTATTTTTCTAATGCTATTGCTAACAAGCCCCCATCAGGATGCTTCCCCACTGATTATCAACTGATAACAAGTAACCAGCTAGATTTAATTAGCTTTTAGAAATTAGTTTTTACTGTTGTGGTGTAGTACAAATAGTTGATACAAAGCATTCCCTTAAACCAGAGACACACTGTCCCACAAATGTGAACAGAGTCCAAGGGAAAATAGGGTCAAGTAGAGAGAATATATGTGTCAAAGAGGTAACTCATAGCATTTAGATGCTAGAAGTCCTTTTTTCCCCTTTGTGGAGCCCTGCTGAAATTCTCTTTTTGCGTGACACGGCCTACTACTGTGTCCTGCTTATAGAGTCCTGAAGCTGCATTTCTCAGTGTGCTTAGTTTGTCTCCAGCTCCTAATATAGATACTACGATTAGGCACTGCTATTTTGGGAATAATCTTACCATTACAAATGAGAAATCCCAAATCATCTGACCCTTTGAAGTTCACAAGTCCTTTCTGTAGTCAAGTGGTGAAGGGAGAAGACAGAGGCTTTCTCACCCTCGCTTCTCTACTAGCAGTTCTCTGTCAGGGGGACATGACTGGGACTTCTACCACTGGGCAAGAAGGCAGATATTCCACCTGACTTGCTGTTTTATACAAGGACCCACAGGGTGTGACTGAGTCTCTCAGTATACTTTCTATATGTCATTTAACTCCATCATTCCTTCAAATTGATTAAGGACTTTCAGAACTTAGTTTAAAGTGTTTGACTAATTGAAGAGAAGTATTCTCACCTGATAAAAGTATCAAGGCTTATTAAATAATCTTTAAGATTTACTTTAGTTATTTTATTCAGTATTTTAAGGAGGGGAAGGTGACTTACTGAATAGACACCTCACCCTTACATAGATTTTCCATATTAATTTTTCCCAAGTTCTTCTTTTCACGAATAAGACATATTTAGGAAATATTGTTCCTTTATGAAAGATGTGCACTTTCATTTTTTCCAGGTTAATGTTTAAAAGCAAATGCAAGTCTTTTGAGCAATATCCATGTTATAAAGATGAAGAAACTAAGATAACTTTTGCTGATTATTCTGTAAACTATCCTGATCAGCCACCAAATTCTTGGTTTATAGTTTTTAGGTAAGGTTTTGAAAATGTTTTCACCCTCTCTAAATTACATTTCATTTATTAAAATTGTTTTCTGTGTATACTTAATATAAGAAGCTTGAGAGACAGGTTTTTTTAAATTTGGTCTTTGTATCCCCAGCACTGATAACAGTGCCTGGCATACTGGTCCCTGATAAATTGTTTTGATTGATTTTAATCACTTGTTTAATCTGCTACAGTATATATAATTAGTTTATTTATAATTTTGTTTCAAAAAATAAAACTTCAAAGTTGCTTTTCTTACTTTCTCTAAAAGTCATCACACTTTTGCTTTGTACATATGAAACCATTTAAAGAAATGTTTTATTTGCATTTTTATTTAATCAAAAACATAGAAAAATAAAACATAGGTAATACGGCTGTTTTATTCATGTTTGCATTTAATTGACTTTATGTTGAATTACTTTCTGATTTTATCATAATTCTTTGTCTTCATTGTTATGTTATCTCCCTTATTATACTCTAAGCACCTTAGGACAGAGGCTGATTTCATCTTTGTATCCTTAAAACCTAGCATAGTGTTGTGCCCATTTAGAATAGTTACTAAGTAATATTTGTTAAATTGATTTGAAATGCTGCTCAGAGAATGTATAATGATAAGACAGTAGGATAAAAGGCTCTCATTTGCTAGATAATACTTAAATAGCTGTAATATATGACTTATAATTATATAGAAAATTTGTATTTATAGATAAATAAAATCAATAGCAAGAATCATTAATTAATTCACTTCAGTTAAAAAGCATTTATTTCTTAAAAACTTGTAATACTGTAGGCATTGTGCTAGGCTCTGGGGACACAAAGATAAAAAATGAAACTTTTTGAGCTTGTGCTCTACTGAGAAGAACATGGTACAGAAAAGTAAATATAAAGTATAAACGAAATACAAAGTAATTTTGTGGGAGGCAAATTCAGAGAGCTAACAACTGAAGGCTCAAGATAGGCCTCTTATAGGAAGTGATACTTATGCTGAGACTGGAGAGGAAGAGGGAAGGAGGGAGAGCATTAAATGCATGGGGACAACCTGTGCAGAGGCAGATAGGTAGGAGATGGAGTATCAAGTACAGAGGACAGCGAATTGGCCAGTTTGGCTGGAATATGGAGTGTATGAAGAGGAATTATGAAATTCATCTAGAAATAAAATTTGGAACCAGATTGTGAAGGGCCTAAATGCCAAATAGAGATTTTTATTTTGTCCTAGAGGCAATAGGGAAGCACTTCAGTTTAATGAGCAGGGGACCACCATGATTACATTGATTTATTTACTTATGTGGATGCATTTGTGTTTTCGGTGCTTTTGTAATGTCAACTTGCAACCATGTAAAGGATGGTTTGGAGAGAGGAGAGACTGGAAGCAGAGAGAGCAGTTAGGAGTCTGATACAGTAGTAGTCTAGGTGAGAGGTATTGAGGATCAAAATATGTGTGGTGACAGGCTGAGTGGAGACAAGGTGACAGATGTGAGAGAGGTAGAGGCAGAATTGATAGAATGTGGCAGTTGACTAGGTATAGGGAGGGGTAGAATGAATGAGACTAAAGTCTGAAAATGACTCAGAGGTGGCAAGCTTGGATCACTAAAAGCAGGATAGTGTCCTTAATGGGATGAAGATAATAAGTTCTGTTTTGGACATGATGAGTTTCAGAAGTCTATGGGACAGCTAGGTAGAGATGTCCAGCAAACAGTTGTTTCTACACAGGTGCTCAAGGTAGAGATGAGGGCTAGATATGCAAGTTTGAAAGTCAGTGACGTAGAATTATATGTATGGGAGCTGATAAGATTACTCATAGAAAGTACAGAGAGAGAAGAGAGGAGAGTCCAGGACAGAGCTCTGAGGTATACTCATATAGGGTCAGGATATAAATGATGATCTAGCAAAGGAATCTGGACAGGAGCTATTAGACAGAAGAAGAAAAGGAGAAAGAAGTGTCAAGAAAACCCAGGGAAGAGAGAGTATTCCTAGATACTATCTGGATATCCCTAGAGGATATCCCTATCCTCTAATCATAGATTAGAGCTAGAAAAGACTTTAGAGTTTAACAAGTCCAATCCCTTCATTTTATAGATATGGAAACTGAAGCCTAGGGAGAGAGTGACTTACCCAGGGTCACACAAGGAAGTGCCTGAGGCAGGATTGCTACAGAGATATCAAGAATCATGAGAACTGAGCAAACACTTTTGGAAATAGCAAGTAATAGGTCATTGGAAACCTCAGAAAGAGCAAATTCTATCAAATGTTGGGATTGGAAGCCATATTGCAAGGACTGGATAAATGTGTGGAATATAAGGAAGTAGAGGCAAAGCATACAGATAGCTCTCCCTACATGTTGTCTGTGAAGGTCAGGGGAAATGAAAAGAATATCATTATATGCAAATATATTGAATTTTTATATTTTCAAAGTTATTTAACTTTAATTTACTCTAGTTTGTGTTTATTCACTTAAAATTCAACTGATTTTCTAATGCATCTTTTAAAGGAGCCTTTTTTTTAATTGCAGAGAAACATTTTATGTAGCTCAAGATATGCTCTTGGTGCCTAAAATATACACTACTCTTCCAGTCTGTATGCTCCATGTTGTTAATAATGACACAATGGAGGAAGTGCCACGAGTGTTCCTCAAAGTGATACCTTATGTCTATACCAAGAATAAGGTAAGATTGAAGATTATTACCACCCAATGACAGTTGGAAACTTTATTTTCATAGAGGATGAAAAGATAATGTCTGTATTCTTTTGCTGTATTTCTTGCCAAGAAAACCCCAAAAGGGGCCACAAAGAGTTGGACACAACTGAAAAACTAGTCAACTAAACTAAGCAACAAAAATGCTTCTGCTGAAGTTAACTGCTGTATGTGCAGCAACAGTTAATTCTTTCCTTTGAGGGAATAGAATAAAATAGTCGTAGTTGTCAAAGTGATCTTCTCAAAGCGCGGGTTGGGCTATATCACTCCCCTACTCAGTATTCCTATCCTTCCACCCTTCTTGTACATTACTTCCTTTCACAGATATTATGATCTGGCCAAAGTAGCCTTCTTAATGTTCCTCATGCATGGTACTCTGTGTGCCACCTCCACACCTTTGCATTAGTTGTCCACCATGTCTAGAATGTACTCCTTCCTCACTCATCTCCTAGAATCACAAGTTTCCTTCAAGTTTTATCTCTAGCACCACCTTGTACAGGAAGCTTTTCTTGATTCCTCTAACTTCTATTTCCTTCTCCCACAGATCATCTCATTACTTTTTTGTAGTTATCATAAATACTACATATTATGTCTCTTAGACTGTAAACTCAAAGACAAACATTATTTAACTTTTATCTTTCTATTCCAAGTACCTAACACAGTGCCTGGCACAAAGTAAGTGCTTAATATATAATATTTCTTCCATTCATCCCTCTGTCCACTTATCCATCCATATGGGTAAGTGAACTGGAAGCACAAAGGAATCCAAGACAGCAATGGTGCTGATTGTAGAGGAACTTATAATTTTAATAGGATCATATATTTAGAGCTGGAGTGGATCTTAGAGGCCAGAGTCCCACTCCTTCAGTCTACAGATGAAGAAACTGAATATCAGAGAGAATCAGTTACTTGTCCAACGTCACACAGCTAGTATCTAATGTGGGATTTGAATCCAGCTCTTCTTGACTTCAAATATAGCATCGTCCATTATACCACCCCACCCCTCTCTATTTGTTTGCTCATCTCTTACTCACCAGAGTAAGAAAAGTCACTCACCAAAAAAAGAAAATGATGAATGTTGAAAGGCCTATAGGAAAACAGGCACATTGATGCACTTTTGGTGGTGTACAGGTGTACCTTGTAAATGGGTTCAACCATTATAGAAAGCTATTTGGAATTAAACACAGAAAGTTACTAGAAAGTGCATGTTCTTTGACCCAACTATGTCACTGAGATGTGTTTTCTACTACATTTTTCACCTATGCTTACTTTTGATTCGAAGTCACCAAGTATCAATGCATATATTATTTGTTTCAGAGGATCTTGTCAAGTTCTTCATAAAATTGCTTCTACTCCTTTATCTAGATGCTGGAACATAGGTGTGATTTCCTTCATACTAACTGTCTTTTTGTTTATATTGATTATTAGTACTGCCATGTGAGATAATCCCAAATGCTATTTTTCATTGCCTTTAGACAAATGAAGAAAGCAACTCTGCCAAGGCCTTTCTTTGTTCTTCAAGACAACCTGAGAAATTTCCATTTAGTAGCCACTACCTTACTTTTTTTCTTGTTTCATTTAGAGCCAGAATATTAGTTTTGATTTAGGCTCATATATTTAGATCTGGAAAGAACCGCAGAGCTCTCATTTTACAGACAAGAAAACTGAGGCCTACAGAGGTTAAATGATTTATCCAGGACAACACGGGCATTAAGGGTAGAGCTGGTATTTGAAACCAGGTCCCTAGAATCTGGAGATCTCATGCCCTTTCGCATGCATTATCCAGTAATGTTTTGATGTTTATTATTAAACAAAAATCTCCTATTTAGAGTACCAGTAGTTTAATTATTATTTGTAAATATTTTAAAAATGCTGTGATTCTTAGCATATTCTCTCTTTCCTATCTTCTACTATCACTGCAAAAGCAGAAGGGAGTCATACAAGTATATTTATCCTTTTTGATTCAGTGTTGATTTTTATCTTTGGTCAGATCAGTGGATAGTCTATTTACACATGGACAAATGATCTCTCTATTTGCTGCAAAACATTACTTAATCTTGAACCATAATTACCAATATGTTTTTCTCTCTGTTTCCCTATGCTAGCTTATCATTGAAGGATGTTTTGTATCTTCCTTTTTTCTTGAGTTACCATAGCCAAAGAATTCATCACATAAATAGCCAAACTACTAGTGATATGCTGCTTCCATACTTAACATATTCATCGTTAGATAGCAGACAGTTTGTTGCCCAGAACATACTCAGAGTCTTTAAAACTTGACAGAACTTGCCTGAATTCTCATTCTTATGAGAATTCAAGATCACTTTCATGTCACAATGAGGCATAGGAATGGAATTCTGTTACAGGGATTTTAATGAGATTTTTAGTGACCTTTTAAAAATAAGGACAATTGAGTGACTTCTTGATGAAATACATTTATGTGATATTTTAGTCTAATTAAATTTTAAATAATTTATGCTCTGATTGTGTACCTTTTCTGATAGCATGCTATAATAAAAACTTAAAACTATTTTCAATATAAAACAAACATTTTTTTCTGTTACTTCTCCTGAGCCATAAGATTGCTGAATATTGTAATCAGATCTTGCTGTTTCAAGTTGTTATTAAATAACAATTTGTATTCAAACCTAATTTTACCTTGTGTTCAAATTTAGAATCACTGTTTTCAGTTTAATGAGAAAAATCTCAATGAGCCATTAATTTCTCCCTTTGTTCTATTATGAATTTTTATACTTATACATTTTAGCATAATTTTTAATAAAATCCATTTGGTTATAATCAAAAGATATGAATGATTGAATATGTCCTGATTACTTCTGAAAGGAGTACTTAAATTCACAAAAACACAGGAAAAAACTTGTTCATAGATGTAATTTTCATAGAATCTATACAAAACATGTTATGCTGCATCTTATACTTTGATTCTATTCACAGCTGAGATACCGTCTCCTACATAAGGTCTTTCTTGAGTCTCTCTCCCAACACACACCAGGTGTTTGCTGTCTCCTTGAATTAGTTCTTTAGTGGTGGAACCAATTTAAATCCCTTTCTACATGCTTTCCTTTAAGTATCTGTACTTATGTTGTATCCCCCAGTAGAATATATGTTCTCTGAGGAGAGCCTTTAAAAAATTATCTCCAATGCCCAGGACTGTCTTTAAATAGTAGGAACTTAATAAATTTTCTTTGCCACAGAATTTTTTTCTTCTTCTAAGTGGTTCTCAAGTACATTTTTTGTTTTTGTTTGTCAGTAGTGAGTTACAATATAGAATTAACAGCCAATAGTAAAGATTTTGTCTCTTCTTACTACAATGGAACTTGTGTGTTGCAAGAAACACTTAAAATGTTTTGTAGGGGCAGAACTGATTCTCGTTTAACTAACTAGTATCTTTACCTGCTGCAGACACTGTTTAATCTTTTTTAGTTTATTTGTGGCCATATAGTCCTAAAGTATGTAAACAAATTGTGTAGTAGTTAAAATGATTATGTACATTTCATTAGAAAAAAGAGGCAGCTCTCATTTTATGACACAAACAGGTTCCTTTTCCATTTCCAGTTCCATGGATGACAGCAAAATGTTCCCCCAAGTTATGGGGCAGAAAAACCTCCCTGACTTGCATCTTGAATTTTGCCACTTCAGATAGCATTTTGTCTGGTTTAGACTTTAGTTTACAGCAGTATATCTTCAGAGCTAACTTAAGTACTTTTGCAGCACAAGTAGCTGTCATGACTGGATGAAGCTATTAACAATATTGTTTACCACATTTGACATCTAAAACATTCATATCTGCATTTGATTTATTTAGTTTAGTCTGGATTGGTTAGTTCACCTGATCAGAGCTTGGCACAAAGTCATAGTGATCAATTTCTCATGAGTCAGATAACTTTAAACAGAGAATAAACTAATCAATCAATCAACAAATATCAATTTACTAAATACCCATTCTGTGCCAGGAATTGGGCTAGGTTCTGGGGTTACAAGTACAAAAAATGAAAACATCCTTACTTGCAAATAGCTGACATTTGGATGTGGAGACAAGTACATGTATAAATGAATCGAATGTGTGTATAATGTGTGTGTGTGTGTATATATATATATATATATATATAAGAAACATATATGTAATTATACAGAATAAAAACTCTCAAATGCCAATCAATTGTCAGAGATTTGAGTACCTTATTAATAGATAACATACATCTCTGTGATCCCCATCTAAAAGCTATATATATATATATATATATGTATGTATATATATGTATATATCTATACACACATATGTATATACATATATAGTTATATATGTGTATATGTGTATATGTATGTATGTGTATACACACCCATATACTTAGCTGATGCTTTGTAGTGGGATGGTCTTTCTTTGTTAACAGCATTATTTTGGTTTTATGTTCTGGACCTTCTCATATGGACAACAGAACAAGTTAATTTAGGAAGGAAGGATGGGACAAGGGACTATAATATGGAAAGCAAAACAGAAATGCACAGGTTGTATTTAGAAAAGAGGGATTAGGAAGGATGTGGAGTTGTAGTGAGACAACTTAGGGGAAAAGGGTGAATATAAATGAAAAAAGTTTACTTTCAAAAAGAATAAACTGAAAAGCTATTGGGACAAGGTTGGAAAACCTTATTGAGTAGCTAACCTTAGTGGCATACTTTTATACAAAAAGTTCTCAAAGTCAACATAAGGGGATGGAGGAGATAGAGGGGGATTCACATGAACTTTAGGGTTTACCAAAACAAGAAATGGGGTCTGCATACCTAAATTCAATTCAGCAAACATTTATTAAGTATCTACTGTGTCCTCCTACTATATTTTCAATTAAGAATTTGGTTAGAACCTCCGAAATTAAAGCTGGCAACTAGGTGGCACAGTGGATAGTGCACCAGACCTGTAGTCAGGAAGATTCCAGCCTTGGACACTTACTAGGT